TGAAACTTGGGGGTATACTAATGTATTAAAATTTAAATTCAAATTGTGAGATAATTTCAGATAAAGACGTGTTCAGATTTTTTGTTTCATACGTAAATGGAAAAATCCTAAATAGCAATAATCGAAAAGATGAGTGAAGAAAACATTCACAAATGTACAGACATCAACAGACTGTTGAATAAAAAATGATCGCAATACACATGCATTCGAAAGTCAGGGCCTATCGAGAGATAATATAAAGACGATATAAAATAAAACTTCGAATTAAACAAGACTGAGAGACTATCTAATAATTAAGAAGTTTGTTTATAATAAAGAAATCGCGGTAACATATATATATAGTAATATATTCTAATTTATTTTTAATTCAATAATCATAAAAATGTATGTATACAAAATAAATTTGTATAAATGTCAAGGCCTCTTCTATGGCAAACAATATTGCGCTTTGAGAAGCAACAAGAAGGAATGATATCGCAACGTAGCTGCATAATTATATGTTATATTATACAATTAATTATATATAACACAATTTGCGCTCTTTGCATGTTATCCTACATTTTAATCGATCAAAAACGGACTGTCACAAGCACCTAATCCAGTCGCCACCCCGCCTTCGTTATCGATAGCCAATTTCGTTCTCAACATATGACCACCCTGTTTATTGACAATAATATTTCTATCATCTCCGATGATAACGCCGAATATGCCTAACTCCGAGACGAACTGTTTCGTGTCCACGTTCTCGTTAATTCCAGGTTTCACGGCGTAGTTTTCATGCACTGGCGGATAAATCCGATCCATGAGAATCCAAGCTACTCGAGTTTGCTCGGATTTGACTGATTCTAAGAAGTTCTTGATATCCATTCCATACAAATTGTTGCAGCCCCCTTCTCTCTGCGGCTTTAACACGAAACGCTGAGGGTCCGAAATTCCCATTTCCACAGCAACATTCCCATGTTCGTCAAAATCCAGTGGATATAGACCTGATTAATAAAAATTAATTAAAAATGTAATTTAATTTTACTAAAACATGTAATTAAGATCATAAATATATTTTGAATTATTCTTATATTATCAATATTATAGAATCGCAACATGTTTCTGTAGCTTAGAACTCAAAGAACAAAATCCTACATTTACAGAGTGTCTACTCAAATTTTTTAAAAAAATTCCCTGAGAATTCCCAATATTAAAAATTTCAAGTAAAATCAGAAAATTTGAACTTTCTAAAAGCTCCTTTTATTATATACGCTTTTTTATTCATATAATTGAAAAATTATCAAGAGTGCAGATTTTTTTTACCATTTAATATTGATTTATTAATTATAAAATTAATTTGCATAATAACATTATATCTGAATGCTAAAAATATATGCAAGAATATAAAGTAAAAACAGAAAAAAATAATTTATTATAAACGTCTTAAGGAATATTAATTTATTCAAATTAATTGTTTATTAAATTATTATTTATTTGTTTATTAAATTATTATTTCTTTAATTATTTATTATAAGTAAGGAGTATTAATTTCTTTAAATATTACTTATTAAATTAAAAAATTGAACAATTTTGCATGAAACTTGATCTTGATACCGAAATAAATCGTCATAAAAAAATTACATAAAATTTTAATAAAAATTTAAATATTGCGAAAATACGTTAGATATATGTTTCTTAAAAGTGCTAAATAAAAGTAAAATTATTAAAAAGACATTTTTTTTAAATTCCTTGAATCTCAATCAAATTCCATGAGAATTCTCTGGTTTTTCAAGATTGGAAAAACAAAATTCCCTGAGAATACCAAGTTTTCAAGGTTTTTCCCAGGAGTATACACCCTGATTTATATATAAATATACAAGAGAGAGAAAGAGCAATGAAATGTATACCAGTAAATATTTCTTTAACTTTCATCGCCGTTTTCTCGTCCTTTAAGAAACGCGCGACCATCCGGGCTTTGCAAGAGTCTGTTGAACCTTCTTTGTACCAGCCAAATGATACTGAATGCTTGGACATTTGATCGCCAATGACCTCTCAATCAGCAATCTCGCGTCCCACTCTTTTTTCGTGTGATATTGTCCAGCTCGTAGCCGCATCTGTAGTAGACTACAGACACAACGTAATCGTTCACTATCAATTCCTTGTCTGGGCCCAGTCTCGCAGTTTCCGCTAATTGCGTCAGATTTCTGCGAATCACCTTTACATTTGGATTCTGCTTTCGTATCTCGAATTCGTGGAAACGCTGATCGCAGATATTGTACGTAATGTCCTCGATAACAAATAAAATGACAGCCCTGTAAATAATTTTACATCTTTAATTACATGCAAATAAGAATAAAATTTATTATATGAAAAAAATAAATAAAATTGCAAAATTTGTGGTAAGAGAATGGAGGTCTGACAAGTAGTAATAAATTTAAAAAAATTATTTATAAACATACTGAGGATTGCCGTACAAACTCCATGCTTCTATCATGCCTGAGCATAGTGTTTGCAGCGCATTATTTTCAGGAAGATTGTCCAATTCTGTCGTATACCCAAGTTCTTGCAAGACAAACTTATGCAACTGAGTGGATACAGGACCCAGCCAGCCGAATCCTGAGGCAATTGTATTTATCTCAACCTGTTTCCAACAACAATGCGGCTTAAGTTTCTTCTTGGTGTCTTTCTTCGGACAACTTGTATCCAGCATCAGATCTGAGCGCAAGATACCAAGGGATACCTTTGAGCAGCCCCTTCTTCGCGAACAATCTCATAAATGTCAAATAAGTTTCTAGTGAAATCATCAACCTTAACAGTCTCTTCCAAAGTCTCCTTCAAAAAGTCATAATCGTGAGCTACTCTGTGTATGAGCATGTTTAAAGTGATCTGAATGTCACAAGCATTTTGGAACTCTTCCCTTGGAAATGGAGATGGCAACAGCATGAATGGTGCAAACTGCAAGACGTCTCTGTTAAAATTGACCTTCGATCTCAAACACATCCCATTCATGAGGGCCCAATCCTTCGCCTTCTCAATCAGGTCTTCCAATTCTTTTCTTGAAATGTTCAGCGAGATGGACAGCTTCATTATCGCTTGCTTATCCTCATACATTCTTCCCAAGCTAAACTTTGCTCCTATCAATCTTCAAACATTCAGTAATAAACTTATATACTTTATTTTTGTACTTCCAATTAAAATGTCCCAGAATAAACAATCCTCATTCAATCCTCAAAAGATTGCATTCAAATACAAGCTTTGTTTTGATTACGTCAACAGATAATTCAAATGATCATATTGTATGTACAAAAGTTAGGTGTTTTTTTCTTCACAAAAATGTGAATATTCAGTATAATAAAAATGATAAAAAATTATCAACAATCACTTCACTGCATTTGATTCACTTATAATATTTCACTTTGAAATGTGTGATTAATTAGGGGCATAAATTATTTCTTTATCGTGATGATATCAGATACGTTGATCGATGTTGAAGAACAACCGGTTCGTAGGTTATCAAATGTATGCAATGATTAATATGAATAATTCCTATGTGTTGAATGACTCTAAAAACAACCGGCAGTTTTACAGCAGCTGATAGCAACTGATAAACTTGATTCTCGTCTCCGCTTTATTAAGCGTCAAACAGCTGATGATTCAGATGAATGAACCAATCAAAATTCTTAAAAATCGATATACTCGGTGACACGTAAAAACGGATATATATATATTGCTCAAAATTTCGTGTAATCTTGCAATCATTTATGTGGCATTAAGATTATTTCGCAAAATTTCGAAAAAAAGATATTGAGAAATTTTGCAAAAAATACTTACAATTCGTGGAAGTAGATATTTTACTGGGAATATAAAGTTGCTGATCCAGCAGGCCGTAAGCTAAAGCTTCCAAGTTATACTCTTCTGCCGTAGCTAAAGCTTTTACATTCCATGTCTAATAAAAGAAATCTTTTTTACATATATATAATTATATATACTATTTTTTTATGCATATTATGTATATTATATATACTATTTTTTTTATACATATATAATTATATATACTATTTTTTATACATATGTATATTATATATACTATTTTATAGTATATATAAATATAATAGTATATATATAATTAAATATACTATTTCATACATATATCTTTTTCATATACATATTTTTCTGCCTTTCACATACATTATACACATTGTTACAGATTTGCAAGGCAATATTCTAATTTCTAACACAGACATATAAACTCACATCAGGTTTTGGAACTTGTCATCGATCACAACTTTATTTCTTCTAGGCCTCTTCTTCATTTGCAATGTAGATATACTTTCTACTACGATGTCAGTTGCATTTTCCTTAAATTTATTCTTCTGCAGTTGTAAGATTATAGAATTTGAAAAAGTCTCCTGTGAACTTTGCACATTATATGTGTGGAAAACTCAATCTGCACCACCACTGGCTTTATTTGCATAGCTCTTAAATTTGTTGCGATGCCCCAACAAGCATCAACGTTAATTTTACTTCTGCAGCTTGATAACACAAATCTATGAATCATAGCGAGACTCATTTATTAGATTTTGTACAGTCAAAACTATACACTAATATAATTTGCACTATTCTTGTGCGTACAAGAAATATATATTTCTGTACAAAATAATTTTAATAATTTTGTACTCCTCAACGTAAGTAAAACAAATAAAAGGAAGATAATTATAAAAATTATTAACACAATTCACATACAATAATAATTATCTCCAAAAACACAAGTTCATTGTTCACTAATATTGTTCATACCGATATTGATGATATCATCTATCATCAGTCATTTAAACGATCTTTTAAATTACTTTTAGTAAAGTATTTTTTTTCAAATTTATATTATATATTTACATGTGCAATGCACATTTCTTTGCAGTAAATTCAGGTTATGTTGTAAGTGGTGGGTTAGAACCACTTTTTGTGACACTTTCTGGATTTTGCAATATCCTGCAACTGTAACCTCCATAAAGTTGTTGATTGTACTAAGATAGGTATTAATAAAGCTGTTGATAATTATATAATAAACTTGATAATTTTACAATATGTGTGACAATAAGAAAAATAAAATAAAATAATAATAGTTTATAAAATAAATATTTTAAATATTTTTTATTATTAATATTTAAATAAATTTTCTATTTAAATTTCCTCTTTAAATTTTCCATCCCTCTTTTACTATCCTATTTAAATAACTTTTAAATATTCCGTAGACAATAAATAATTCTTTATTTTTTAATAACAATTTAGATCGATTAATTATTCAACCTAAATATAGAATTAAAATAAATCTAACGCATTAAACCTAAATTAAAATAAAATTTATCTTTGTTTGCTGCAAGATAAAATTATATATTAGTTTCTTTTGATATTAAAAATATCTTACAAAAATAAATTACTCACATTAATTCTTGCGTTTACGTAATTTGAATAATAATTATTATATTTATTTTTAATACAATTTCAATAACAATTTAGATCGATTAATTATTCAACCTAAATATAGAATTAAAATAAATCTAACACATTAAACCTAAATTAAAAATAAAATTTATCTTTGTTTGCTGCAAGATAAAAATGATATATTAGTTTCTTTTGATATTAAAAATATCTTTCAAAAGTAAACTACTCACATTAATTCTTGCGTTTACGTAATTTGAATAATAATTAAGTAGATAATAGTATAATGTAATATAATTAGATGAAGAAGCTATAAAATCAGAGAATTTATCTCACGAAATTAAAATTTGAATATGATTACAGCATCGAGTAGATTGCTCGACCAATCAGAGCGAAGGAAGCACAGATCTCTTCGTCCCGATTGGTCGATCGAATAATCTCCAAGTCGAGTGCACAAAAGTTCGTCCGAAGTGCACCGAAGCTTTCCGAAAAGTGGAGCCAACCGGAAGTCGGGACTTCTCTTGTGTTAGACACGTGAATGTTTTAGCGTGCTGGTTCAGCGCTGATCAGTTTTATTCGAATACAAATTGGTTATCTCGACCAGGACGAGAATTCAATCATGGTAAGCGATTAATGTGACACCGATTAATATTTCTGATGCAAAATTTGCCATAGCGATAGAATATTTAACTTCTAAAAATCAAAATCAAATACTGAATTAGGTTAGGTGTTCAAACGAAGCTACAACAATGTTGCACCTATTTTTTAACACAAAATTGCGAAATTATCATCATTGTCATCATCATCATCATTATTTTTATTATTATTATCATTGATATCATCATCATTATTTTTATTATTATCATCGATATCATCATCATCATCATCATCATCATCATCATTATCATTATTATTATTTATCATCAAATTAATATAATTTATTAAAATCGGTATGTTTCATTTTTATTTTCCAGGCTACCACCAAGGTGGATAATCCTGAAAAGCCAGGGCAGGAAGTCACTCCCATTCATCGCATTAGAATTACACTTACATCTCGCAATGTTCGTTCCTCGAGAAAGGTAAATATAAGCTTGATAGATCTCATTATTTATTTTGTTAATTGACAGTAAAACTTTAGAAGCAAATAAACAATATAATTTGAAATGCAAGCTTAATATGGTATAAATAACTGAATAATTCTTTTTTAGTGTGTGCTGAATTAATCAATGGAGCTAAGAAGCAGAAGTTGAAGGTTAAGGGACCTGTTCGCATGCCGACAAAGATTTTGAGAATAACCACTCGCAAAACACCTTGCGGCGAGGGTTCAAAGACATGGGATCGTTTCCAGATGCGAATACACAAGAGAGTCATTGATTTGTATTCGCCATCAGAAATTGTGAAACAAATCACAAGCATTTCAATCGAGCCTGGTGTAGAGGTGGAAGTGACGATTGCCAATGAATAAACAATGACATTAAAACTGTATACAAAGTTTTAATAAAAATATAAAAAAACTGAACCTATGTTTTATAGATTTTTTTTACACATCATAAATAACTTTTTCTAGATTATTAAATATATTCACTAAATGTATAATATTGAGTAATTTATCAGCTGTCTTCAGATCATTTATTGTATATCAATTCAGTAAAAAACTTCATTTTTTCGTATAAATTACAGTAGATTAATTTTTACAGCTTTTATTAGAGGAACCGCACTAATATGTTCAACGAGGCGTAAAGTATAGAATAGAATAGTTTATTAAAGTTTAGCTGTATAATAAAAAAAAAGAACACATGCAAATATTTGTCCATATTATCAAATATGTACTTTATTATTCGAATATATATGTATATATCTTCAAATTTCATCCTCAGAGTCTCCCTCCTTGTCATTATGCCCCAGGCCTTTATTATTATATTCTACTTTGCTGTTTTGCTCAGCTCCTTCGCCGCCGCTGAAATCACCTTCCATTCCCTCCACCTCCTCTTCATCGTCATCGCCAGCCACTTCCGCATTTTCAAGTTCCGCTCGTTCCATTTGTCGCGCCAATTCCGCCTCGTCCGTTGCGGTGACAACCTTTGGCTGAGAAAAAGAAAAGTAGATTTTTACTAACAGCACGTAAACAATGATTTACACAAATTTTGTAAAAAAAATTTCTGATAAAAATAAAACAAAAACATAATTTATTATAAACGTCTCAAGAAATACTAATTTATTTAAATTATTTATAAAATTAATTATTTATTAATTCATTATTCATTTATTTATTTATTAAATATATAAGGAGTACTAATTAAATTAAATATTATCTATTAAAAACTTGAATAATTTTCTATGAAATAATTTATAAATTTTATTATAATTTATATAAAATCTTGATACTAAAAATAGATCCCCAATAAAAAGATTTTCATAAAAATTTAAAAAGAATCTTGTAAAAATTCCCTGAATCCAAATTAAATTTCATGAGAAATTCTTGATTTTTCAAAGTTGAACAAAGTTTCCTGAGAATTCTTTTTTTCCGATGAAAACGTTAGGCTTAGACAAGTGTCTTTATTTGAAAAACTTACTGCCATTTGGACATTGAATACACCTCCGAGCGACGTTATTTTACTCTGGATAACTTCGATTGCGTCGCTTAACGCCTTTAATCCATCCTGTTTTTCCGGTGTCGATGTCGTCATAACTGAAAATTAATTGATAAAATACAATATATTATATAATTATATTATATTATAATATTATATTAATATTAATATATTATATTAATATTATTTAATGTACTTTTGATAAAAGAATATTATAATTTAATATAATTCATGATTTTTTAAACAAGATAATGTAGGACATACCATATAAGGGAGGAGCGATTAAATTGATTTTTATGGGAAGTTCATCAGTGGAAAGAGCTAAGCCAGCCTTCAATGCAGTCTTTACAGCATCGATACCTTCGTAACCGTAACATGCTACTTCCACATCCGCTCTAATTTTGACTGCTTGCGAGGTGAGTTTCCGTTTGATATTATTTAACAATACTTCTTTCGTGTGCTCGTCAAGACCACATTCTGCTAAAATGGAAGGATCCCTAAAAAAATTGTTTACATTCATAAACACATTTTTTCAGAGACCCAACTTATATTTTATCATCTGCAGCTAATTTCCTCTTACAATACTGATTGCTTGAAGAAATCGTAAGCAGATGCTTTCTGTTTCTTGTATTTTTCCTCAAAATGCCAGGCTGTCTTCTGATATAGTTCTTCTAATTGATCATCATTATCGTAATGTAACAATTCTGCTACATGTCTTAAAATTGAATTAACAGCTTTAGCCTTGGCGTACCTCTCTGTACACTTTTCCACATCCTCGGCGGACACACGACGCTTGCTCAGATCGATATAACCTTTTTTAAAATTTATATGTAATATATAATAATCTATTATACATATATTTTATATTATAATTTTATTATGTATTATAATTATATATATATATATATTAAATTTATATATAATATATAATACATTATAAATAATGTACCATATATTATAAATTGATAGAGCAAATCGTAATCACCTTTCTCTTTATCCACTCGAATAACTACAACCGGTTCAGTTTTGCCTACTCGAATAAGTTTGTTAATGGACCTAATACGTCTCCTGGACAGTTCAGAGAGCAGGATCATTCCCTCAATGTTATTGTACTCCAACAGGTGCACGTAGGCACCCATCTCAGCTATACTGCGCACATTTACCATCACCACATCTTCCACCTCCGGGTATTTTTCTTTATAAAACCGACACGACAGCACCATATTTGCTAAAAGAAAATTATAAATATGAAACATATGAAACTTAACAATATGCAGTGTCAGAAATGATATATCTGGAGTAAATAGATGGAAAAATAATCCAAATAATTATCTTTAAAAAAATTATACTATCAACAATGACGCATAGGAGAGCGGAAAAGTTCGCGAATGAAATGTTTATTGAAAAAATAAAATAAAAATAATTAATAGGTTAATTTTTGTAGGTTAGCTAGTCGAAAAAGTGTCAATACTATTTCGCGCATTACCTAAATAAGTGTACTCGCGCAATGGCAAATCTCTTTTTATTTTTATCAGCTTGGAGACGTAAACAAGTATATATATTGAACACTCTTTTCCCTTTATCCGTGAATTTCCACGTCCTACAGGACGCAACAGCACGTTTCGCTATGGACTGTCGACATTTTGATTTTTGACGACGAGTTTAAATGAACGAGTTTCGATTTGTCTCCGACAGATGGCGCTAGTGCTCGGAAAATTTGATCTATTCATCATATAATTTTATTTCTCAATAAAAAGTGTTTATCATATATTATATGTATCGGTAATACTAATTTATAACTAATTAAACAAGATTGAGTAAGTTAATGATTTTTAAAAACTTTTTTAGTTATATTAAAGTTATGACTTTTTTGTTATTTTTAAGTTATAAATTTTTTAAAAGTTAAGTTAAAGTTTGTTTATAAAATTATATAATTTAGTTAAATTAAAAATTGTATAAATAAAAAATTAACTCGGTTAAAATTATATAAGTTAAGGTATTAAATTATAACTGAAGTTAATTCAAAAGTTATTAATTTATTTTAATATCTTTGTAGAAATTTATCACTACCCTTGTAGAACTAGTGATAAATTTCACTAGTAACGCCAATGAATCACTTATTTCGAGTACTTAAAATACTAATATACAGTAATTTAAGTACTCGAAATAAGTGATTAAGTACTCGAAATAAGTGATTAAGTTATACTCGAAATAAGTGATAAATTGCGGCATTACTAGTAATAAATTTCTATAAGAGTATAATAACACTAATTAATCACTTGTTTCAAGTACTTAAAATACTAATATACAGTAATTTAAGTACTCGAAATAAGTGATTAAGTACTCGAAATAAGTGCAATGATTAAGTACTCGAAATAAGTGATAAATTGGCGTTACTAGTGATAAATTTCTATAAGGATAGAGTACTTTTTAACTTATTCAACTATATAATTAACTGTGTTATTATATCCAACCCTGTAATTAAATAATAATTTGAAGCAATTAAATTCGACATAAAATAATAATTATTTAATAATCCATTTTAATTTCAATAATAATAACTAATAGAAGAGGCAGAAGAAAAGTTGCTCAAGAATTGGGGATTCAAAGTAGTCGATTCATCATGGAACCTCAGGTCTAGTTTTCATCCAAACGTCAGACAACAGCGTTTCTCGTGTATCGACCAATCAGAACGAGGGCTTCTGCTCTCCGATTGGCCGATTAAATGTTTCGTCAGAAGCTGTCAAACGCCAGATAAGAATTCGTCCATGATGATTCCGTTTACTTTGGACCCGCGATTAGCTGATCTTTCCGTACGTAGAAAAATAGAATTTTCCGCGGAAATCCGTCCGGCTGAGCCTCAACCAGGTTCGTTCACGCAGAGATATGCGCGCCCTGTTCTTCGATGACAATCATCTTCGTGGGTGACACTCGCGACTGGATCAGTTAACAGTCCAGGATATGTCCCGATCAGGTTAGGCCAGGGAGGCGAGGACAGAGTGACAGTTCAACGATGATCAACATCAGCAGCGGCGTGGCATCCTTGACGATGACGATGATGATGATGATCATGATAATGATGATGATGATGATGATGATGAAGAACGCGTAGTCAGGACGACGATCCCGACTGCACGTGAGAGATCGGATACGTCAGGACGATCGTTTGTATATAAAAATAAGTTTATAGGTAGAAGAAGAAGAAGTTGAAGAGGAAGACGAAGAAGAAGAAAATGCCGCTGGTCGTGAGAAACTGTCCGCACCTGGCCAACCGCGGCGACCTCGCCTTCATCGAGGCGCTGATGACGCGGGAGGAGCGCTACGTCAAGTGCAGCGACTGCGACATCTCCGGACCGAACCTTTGGTTGTGCTTGTTCCCCGATTGCCGTTGGGTCGGCTGCGCTGAGACCCATCTCGACCACAGCACCATCCACAATCAGAACTTCCCAGCCCACTGCGCACACATGAACCTCTCCACCAAGAGGATCTGGTGCTACGCCTGCAAAAGCGAGGCCATCGCCAAGCAGGTGCCGTCGCCCCCGTTGTCGCCCACCCAGGTGGAGTTCAAGACTATGGGGAATAAGTTCGCCGGGGATGCTCCTGGTGGCGTGGAATCCAAACTCGATGGCCTGGACAGGCTAATGTTTGACAAGTGAGTAAAGGTTTCAAAATAATTTGTTTGTATGCATGTAATGAACCTTGTTCATTACATATATATAACTAAATATTGTTATATATATATAATGAACCTTGTTTAAAGTGAGATTTATTCCTGATTGCAGTGTTTTGCAATAAAAATGATGAAAGAGTTAAGGATCTTGCACCAAATACATAGGATTTTGGTTTTTGGTGAAATTGATTGTTTTTTTTATATGTTGTAGATTACCATATATTCTGCTGAACAATAGATGTAATAGCCTTGAAGCTAAATATTGGATAGTTACTGAGCTACAGTCAGTCAAACAATTTGCAGTCTTAATTTTTCACTGGCTATAAATCAACAATCATCTATTATTTAACTTTGAACCTATTTCTGTTTAGCAAGTCAATTACAACATGTGAGAAAATTAATTGATTTTACCAACATTCAATTTTATATAATTAGTACAGAGCTTTTGAACTTATATGAAATCGTAGATGAAATTGAATCCTGGTAAAATCAGTTGATTTTCTTACATATTGTAACTTATGACTTGCTGAACAAAAGATGTGATAGTCTCAAAGCTAAATATTCGATAGTTACTGAATTAAAATTTGAGTTGTGTTTGATTGCTTGCGAATCAGTAACCATCTATCATTTAGCTTTGAACTCGTTACATTTTTTGTTCAGCAAGTCATAAGTTACAATATGTGAGAAAATCAGCTGATTTTACCAGGATCCAATTTTATCTAAGATTTTAGGTTTAAAAACTACATACACTAATCATATAAAATTGAATCTTGATTGATTTTACAGCCAGTCAACATGAAAAGCTCTCTGCGACTGGCTGTAATTCAGTAACCACTCAACATGTTCAGCAGGACATAAACTACAATATATGAAAAAAATAGCCCATTTCACAGAAAGCCAAAATTTATATGTATTTAGTGTGGAGTTCTTTGGATCTGTGAACCTCAAAACATCTTTTTCCTCTCTTTCCTAGATTTTACGGAGACTGGTCTGTAAACAGAATTAACTCGGAGAAGGGAAATACGTTCAACGAGCGATCCGGGGATTCTCCTGATAGTACAGACTCTGACGAGAGCAAGGACTTTTCTGGGAAGCCCAGGGGTTTAGTGGGCCTGCAGAATATTGGCAACACCTGTTACATGAACGCAGCATTGCAAGCTCTATCCAACGTCTCTCCCTTGACTCAGTTCTTCTTGGATTGTGGTCATATAGTGAATTACATGTCGAAGGACAGGAAACCCGGGCTGAGTTTCAGCTATTTGAATCTCATCCGGGACATGTGGAACAAGAAGACTAGGGGCTATGTTGTGCCACATGGTATTCTGTCAGGTATCAGGACGGTGCATCCCATGTTCAGGGGGTATCACCAGCATGACACTCAGGAGTTTCTCAGATGTTTCATGGATCAACTGCACGAGGAACTGAAGGAGCATATCGAGGACGACAAGGACTGTCAGCTGCGATTGAAAGGACTGGGCGATCACTCGTCGGAGGACGAGGACGAGACCGAAATGGACGGCAACGCGTCCAGCCAATCCGACGCGGAGTATGAGACCTGCGACTCCGGCGTGAGCGAACAGAGCTCGCTGAGCGACGAGGGCGAGCGCGGCACGAAGAGACGGTACTCCCGGGTGTCGCAGACAGAGAAGCTACGCAACAAGTTCACTAACCGGAGCATGAAGAAGTCGAACATCGAGCCAGCGCTGCCGACGTTCGCGCCGCCTCAGCGCTCTCCGCAGAGTTCGCCGGCCAAACATCGCACCAAGAAGCAGATGAAGACGCGCAGCATCATCAGCGACACGTTCGACGGTAAGCTGCTCAGTAGCGTGCAGTGCCTGACGTGCGATAGGATTTCCACCAGGGTAGAGACCTTCCAAGACCTGTCTCTGCCGATCCCGAGTAGAGATCACATCGACATGCTGCATCAGGGCTCGCTGACGCCGCAGAAGGCCGGACCGTGCTCCGACGTAGTCTACGTGACCAATCAATCCGGATGGCTGTCGTGGTTCTTGCAGTGGATGCGCTCGTGGTTCTGGGGACCAGTAGTCAGTCTGCACGACTGTCTCTCCGCGTTTTTCAGCGCCGACGAGCTAAAGGGCGACAACATGTATAGCTGTGAGAAGTGCAACAAGCTGCGCAACGGCATCAAGTTTTCCAAGGTCCTGGAACTGCCTGAGATACTCTGCGTCCATTTGAAGAGGTTCCGTCATGAGCTAATGTTCAGCTCCAAGATCGCCAACTACGTGTCATTTCCCCTTGAGGGTCTCGATATGCGACCGTATCTGCATAAGGAGTGCGTGTCCAAGGTCACCACCTACAACCTGATATCGGTGATTTGTCATCACGGGACAGCTGGAGGCGGCCATTACACCTGTTACGCGTTGAACCGATTACCAACAAGTGGTACGAATTCGATGATCAGTGCGTGACGGAGGTGTCGCCGGAGACGGTGAAACACTGCGAGGCCTACGTGCTCTTCTACAAGAAATGGTCGCCGGAGATGCTGCAGCTACGCGACAAGACGATGGAGCTCATGGAGATATCGTCTCGCGAGCTCTCCGACCTCAATTTCTTCGTTTCTCGGCAGTGGATCAATCGTTTCAACACCTTCTCCGAACCCGGTCCCATCGACAATTCCGACTTCCTGTGTCCTCACGGCGGCGTCATTCCCGTCAGGGCGCAATTCGTCGACAAGATTAGCATGCCTATACCACAGGCAGTTTGGGAATATCTGTACAACGCGTGAGTTCTTTCTTCTCGCTAATTGCGACATGTACAATATTATTATTTTTTTTATTTATATATAAGTTTGTTCTTTTCAGCTGAACTGGTTGCACTAGTTCAGTCTCCTTCTTTCAATGTGGAGTAAAAAGGAAGTCTGTTCTTTTCAGCTGAACTGGTTACACTAGTTAAGAGTTCATCCAGGTAGTAATCGTACGTCATTTTGACATCGAATGACGTCATTAAGCATCTAATGACGTCGGTTTACTACTTGACTTATCTCTTTCTTTCCAGTATGGAGTAAGAAAGATAAACTATGAACTAGGACAGCCAGTTCAGCTGAAAGGAATAGACCTTATATTGCTTTATTGTATATATTAATTTTGATGCTCGTTACTTCAGGTTCGGAGGAGGCCCAGCCTGTACACATCTGTACGAGTGCCCGATCTGCGAAGAGAAGTACGAATCCTTGCAGAAACGCAGGCAATACGAGATGGAACTGTTCCAACGATTGAATCACACTACCGACAATCACACGGCCATCTATGCGTTAGCTATGGCCTGGTTGAGACAATGGCAGAGCTTCGTCCGAGGTAAAGAGACACAGCCACCAGGACCAATTGATAATAACTCCATCGTTGTAAATAAAAATGGGCAAAATAGTCTTAAAGTCGGTAAGTCTTCTTTCATATTTATTTGATATTAAATCATATATTAAGGCTTCTAGATACTCGTCACGGCCATTGTTAGATTGTGACGTCAGAATCTGAAGGTTCTTATGTGCCATTTTGAAATAAAAAGATACTTTGATGAAACACAACTTTAGATGACTCTGAAAGTGACACGCAAGAATTTTAGTGTGTGCTTTCTCACCTCTGACGTCACAATTCTAACATGAGCGAGGGCTCAGAAGCCTTCCTAAGTAGCAAACTGATTAAACGTCATAAAACGTCAAAATGATCCCAGGTAGCAAGCATACGTCCTTTTGACATCGAATAATATCATTAAACGTTAAAATGACATCTTTAAACGTCAAAATGACATATAACGTCTAATGACGTCAGTTTGCTTCTTGATATGTCATTAAATGTCAAAATGACACCATTAGACGTCAAAATGACGTATATTTGCTATCTGGGTTAAAGAGAATGTATGTTAGGAATGTATATTTTGTGTTTGTCACTTTTTATACTCATCTTTATGTATTCTTACTTATGCAGGTTCAGATTATGGCCAAATTCCCGAAGAATTGTGGCAGTTTTTCCTGACCACATACGGAGGTGGACCAGAATTGATGTTGCACTCGTGTCAACGACCTGTGCCAGCTCAGCCTAACGTTTCTATACATTCCGTGTCGAATCCAAATTTGGTAGATCCGAATCTTAAGTGCAATCGCGCAGAGGCTAAGTCCAGCAAACTTACCACGACCAGGAGCTCGGAAACGATTTCGCAACAGGACAGCGCGATCGAGAGCCTACTTTCGAGCAGCGACTCCCATCAGACACAGAGAGACGTGAGCGAATAGATTCGCGATTTTTCACGACGTTTCCCGTTTATTGTGACAAGCATTTCCATTGGTTTCTCTTTAAGTTTAGCCTGTAAGTAATCAAATTTTTTAATTCTAATTTTACGAAACTCCACGTTTTATTTTGCTCAGAACAGCTTGATATTTTTCTCGCTACATTTTTTATAAACGAAATACCGTGTATGGGAATGCATAGTATCTGTATGTGTTTTCGTTAAGAAAATTACTTGGAAGTAAAACGATCACTGTCATTTTGTCGATTTGAAGACTAGGAGAGACAATCAGATATCCTTGTATCTATGTACAAATTTAAATCCTTTCGTAATGTGCAATTCAAATTCGAAAGTATCTTTATCAGGAAAAGGCAACTAGACTATATTTAATAAAAATAATATCTCTTTTATTTTTTATTCGCAACAATTGAAGATAAAAAACGCGTTTATTTTTTTTGTTCATTGCCAAAAAGGATTAATTTAAAAATGTGCGATACATTCTTCTTTACAGCATCAACAATTATATATAATAAATAATTGCAAGTCTGCGTGGTGAAGATATCTGATTGATCTCCTAGCACAGATGGATCATCATCATCGTCGCAATTTTTGGAAAAAATGGAATGACACTGATGGTTTTATTAAGTCCGCTTACTTCGACACTTGTGCGGGCGACGTGGAATTTCATCGTCAACAATTCAATCTCATCGATGAGAATATCGCGTATATTGATGGGAAAAACGTAGTTATATAGTACAAAAAAGAAAACAGGATTTGCTATAGATCGTACATTATTTAAATACAAATCTTAGCTCGTATTTTTCGCCCAAAGTCTAGACCGCGCGCGACTTCGGTATAGTTGAGAGGCTCACATTTTTTGATGTTTATACATTCGCCGTGACGTTGGTGTATGCGTGTGTGTGTTATTTCTGCACAGAAAGACAGATGGGTTTTTCCTCCCCTTTCTCTCTTTTTGTTCCTCAGAGTCATGTACATAACATCGTTACTTCTTCTCCGTTGGTGTCTAGTAGCCTTTCATCTCGAAAGAAAAAAGAGGAAAAACACCGTGAAAGACTGACAAATCGACTTTATTTAAAAAGGGGAAACATGTTAACTGTACGATCGATAGCGGAAGATTGGAACAAGAACGCGAAGAAGTTCGATGATCTTCATCTTTTTTTGTTTTCGAGCAGATAGAAAAAATTATTATTGTTGTTGTTATTTATATATAAGTATAAATTTATTGCCGTACGCGTATAAGTTTTTTCTTTCCTAGCACAAGGAGAACACGCGATTCATCAAGATTGCCTACGTAATCTCCTGAAGAGCAATTGAGCTGTATTACGAGCTCTGAAGCTTACAACAATGAAAGCTTCGAGCTATAATTAATTATATATTATATATACATGCGAGAAAAACGCTCTCCTCAAGTATTATGCAGAGAAATTTTACCTTATCTTTACATCCTGGCAAAATTTTTTACATAATATTCAGGTATTTGTCGAGCACGACTGTTATCAGTTATTATGTAAGAAAAGAGTAGATTGTAAGATTAGAGATATTCAGATTGGAGATTACAATGTGCATATGTATACAGGGTGTTAACAAATTAGACCGACTTTGAAGGGAGAAAGAAAACTTCAAAATAAACATTTTTTGTTAATACTAATTTTCTTAAAAACTATAAAAACATTACAGAGAAAAATAGCGTTAACAAAAAATGTTTACTTTGAACTCTTTTACTTCCCTTTGAAACTTGTCGGTTTAATTTTTTAACACCCTGTATATATATTATGATATCAAACTAAATCATGTTTCATCTGCTATCATGCTGTTATGCTAAATATCATCTTTCATTTTTTATATATGTCTGTCACACAATAAATTAATAAAATGTCTCATTAATATATAATTATAAATAATTTAAAAATAATAAAAATTATAATAAGACGTCGTTTGATTATTTAATCTGTTTGGGTGACAAAAGCTTATACATACATTAAATTTAAACGAAGATACGTAATGATAAATACTCGAGCATCACAAAATTTTTTAAAATTTCTCTGTAATATATACTTAAGAAGCGAAGTACTCACAAGAGACACAGGAAAGAATTATTACCATGTATGTATCGAATTTCTTTTGCAGTTGCGTTTTCGTGGGTCCTGTCTTGTTAATTCGGACATCTATATATTTATATAACGGGTGTCCATTTTACAAATGCAGTATCACGATTGCGGAAAAGTAAAAGAGAGAAAAGAAACGTAGTGCAATTCGAATTTTTTGTCCACAAGAACGCAAACAATTGTGAAAAATTGTTGAGACTAATTCTATATAATTCGAGGCAAAATGTCAGATAAAACATGATGAATATACATATATAAGTTAGTTTCTTTACTTTTGCAGAGACTATGTGTTATTGCTGAGCGAAATGTGCGTTTGTTCGTAAACTCTAAATTATATATAAGACTCCCAAATTCCTTTTCTAATACATATATATGTAAAAAAAGTATCACTTTATATCGTAAATCATAAAATTCGCACAACACTGTCTTACTATAAAATGACAAATTTCATGGAATTACGTAAGATCAGCGAAATATTTGATCAAGTATTAATTGGGAAGATATACAAATTTTAAGCCACACTATTGCAAAGAATTCCATCTTCATCTCAAAAAATACTACTACACAATAATTGCAAACTCATTCCATAAATTTAATCAAGAGCACCAAGGATTTTTAGACCTAATTTATTTCTATTTGATACACAAGATTGTGTGTGATTAATAATGATACGAATAAAATGATCAAAGCGTTTCTTTGAAATTGCAGTTTTCATTGAGTTGTATCTCTAAATGATATCACGATTCCAAATCCCGATATCGACTTTACATTAAACTCCAAGAAGCTTGCAATATTTTTCAATTTAAAAAAATTATATAAAATATTAATATATATTTTTTCAACAATTTTTGCAGCATTATATCATCAATTACGAAGATCCGATCTATCTTATATAATTAATTGCGGCTTTCTTTGAACAGTTGTATCTTTAAACGATATCAAAGTCTCAAGTCCTGATATCGATTTTATATCAAAGTTCCAAGAGTCCTACATTTTTTGATTAAAAAAAATATAAAATATATATTATAAAATATGACTTGATTTACATATATATAATTTATATTTATATTATATTGTAAAATTTTATTTATATTTATATATCCCAGATAGTAAGCGTCATTTTGATGTCGAATGATATCATTTATTTTAATTACGTCAGTTTGCTACTTGATATATATATATATATATATATATATATATATATTTAATTTATATTTATATTGAATATATAAGACAGCATATTTATATATTAAAGTCATAAGACAGATCATTTCGTAAAAATTATTGAGAAAAATTATATATAATTTTTTTCTATTTTATATTTAACAAAAATATAAATATATAAATTATAAAATATACATTTCATAAATGACATAATATAATATAATAAATATAAATGAAAAATAAATCGCGGTCGGAGAGAGACGATCTTATCTCCGTCTCTCTGGCATTTGGAAGAAGTGGCTACGGCACTAGGTGAGACACCCACGAGATGACGATACGTCGTCTCTCTCTCGTGGACCATCGATCGAATCCTGCGCATTCGGGGGTGGCTGGCCATATTATTCTTCCCCCGCGCGATCTCTCTCTCCCTTAAGCATCCCCTGCTGCTCCTTAGTCGATGCCGCGGATCGTGGGCTTCGCTGCCGCGATTTTGGCCCCGCAAGTCGCGGCGTAGATCGTAGACGGACAACAACATCGTCTTCGTCATCATGCCGCTCTGTAAATCCGGATAGTCCGGGCCGCGGTCTCGATTTTTTCCCCGAGATTTTCCGCTTCTCTCACTTCCCCGAATCTTCTCCTCTTCCATGAAGCCTCGCTTTCGTCCGGGGTATCGTTTTTAGTTTCGCTCATCATTTTTAATCGCGACACCCTCTAACTCTCTCTCTCTGTCTCTGCGCGAGGTCGTCGAGATCCCGATCGGGAGAATCATCTCCTAGGGGGGAAAAAAATAAGGTGCAAAGCAGCCAGTGGATTCGCTATTCTCTCGGTAAGCATATAAGATCCTTCTTTCTCTTCGTCATTGATCACATTTGGTGTGTCTGTATACCTGATCTAAGGCTTTTAAGGACTCCTATAAGATGTTTCACGCACAGCGATGGAGAAGTCCGTTCGATACACGAGCACGTCGCTTTTACGCACATCTTCATCGTTCATTCATTGATAATTCACCTCTTCGTCTCTTGCTCGGAGATGTCCAAGATGCATGATTGAAATCTGAAATAATTAATTAATGTCTTGTATAATCATATCTATATATGTATTTTATATATATATATATATATATATATATATATATATATATATACTCTTCATCATGTCTTGTGCCAGGATGTACTCTTACCCCTTCTTATTTCCTAGATCACTGCACAGTATCTAGCCGTGTTTTTGTGTGAAAAAAGAAATCCTCGTACATGTAAGAGATTATAAATAAACGTGCTCGCCGTAGAAGCAACAGATAGAGAAATGGCGAATTTCCGTGGATTTTACATACCCTCCATCGGAGCAACGGTCAGCGTCGCCTGGGAGACCTTGAAGGCCAAATGGCCGGAGAACAGTCCTTGCATGGAGCTTATCCGCGGCGCCGGCGGCTTGGGCGGCCAAGGTCATCCTCAAGGTCACGAAGGTCAGGGCCAATTCAAGTCCTTCGACGAGGGCCGCGGTGACAATACCGAGATGATGACCATGAACGGGGACCAGGCGTACCGGGATCAGAACAACGTGGCGATCGCCGAGGACTCCTTCAGCTACCAGAGGAACGGGTAAGGGAATCAAGTTTCGCTTCCCAGTCTCCTGACTATCAGTTCCTTCTTCGGGTTTAACGTGTTTCTCCGATTTCAGGGATAAAGTCAGAACCGGAAGCATGAGCAGCGGCGAGTTCAGCGAGTACGACGAGGGTGGCGGAGAGTTTGGTAGCCCAGGTATCAAGATCAACGAATGGCAAGCCGCTTGGAACGTTACGAACGCTATTCAGGTATTGTAGGATCACAAAATAGCGTTTTTTCTCCTCCCATTAACTTATTTTAACTATATGTGTGAATTTATAGGCTTTTCTGCGAATCCCATTTAACCCTTTTATCAATGAATAAGTACCCCGGTACCCAAAACGATTTTAAATCTTTTTATTTATACTTTTTCACTTTTTCATCAATGAGTTTCGGGTATCTAAAGCAACATTAAATGTCAAAAACGAGTAATTACGGTATCTGGTGTCCCATACATTAATCTTTTTGTCAATGAACAAGTATCCGGGTACCCAAAACTCTTTTAAATTCTTTTATGCATACTTTTTCACCTTTTCATCAATGAGTTCCAGGTATCTAAAGCAACATTAAATGTTAAAAACGTCAAAAACGCGTGATTGGTACCCAAGTGCCTCACATATTAACTCTTCCATAATTGAACAAGTACCCAAAACCTTTTTAAACCCTTCTATGCACATTTTTTAACTGTTTCATCAATGCATTTTGCGTAACTAAAGCAACATTAAATGTTAAAAATGTCAAAAACGCGTGATTGGTACCGAGGTGCTCCATATATGAATTCTTCTATAATTGAACAAGTATCCAAAACCCTTTTAAACTCTTCTATACATACTTTTTCACCTTATCAGCAATGAATTCCGGGTAGCTAAAGCAACATTAAATATAAAAAATGTCAAAAACTCGTAGTTGGTACCCTGGTGCCCCATACATTGACGGGAAGGTGAACAATAAATTCATCATCGATTTATTCGCCAATCTTTTCCTCCAGGGGATGTTTATCGTCTCTCTGCCGTTCGCCGTTTTGCGAGGCGGCTACTGGGCGATCGCCGCGATGGTCGGTATCGCGCATATCTGCTGCTACACCGGCAAGATCCTGGTCGAGTGCCTGTACGAGCTGGACACGGTTACGGGTCAGCGTGTACGCGTACGGGACTCGTACGTGGCGATCGCGAAGGAGTGCTTCGGGCCGACGTGGGGCGCGCGCGCCGTCAACATCGCGCAGATCATCGAGCTGCTAATGACCTGCATCCTTTACGTGGTCGTTTGCGGCGATCTGATGATCGGTTCGTTCCCCGAAGGCGCGATCGACACCCGTAGCTGGATGATGCTGATCGGTATATTTCTGCTGCCGCTCGGCTTCCTTAAGTCGCTCCACCACGTCTCCGTGCTGAGCTTCTGGTGCACGATGTCTCACCTCTTCATCAATGCGATCATCATCGGTTACTGCATCCTGGAGATCGGTGACTGGGGCTGGTCGAAGGTGAAGTGGACGATCGACATGGAGAATTTCCCAATCTCGCTCGGTGTTATAGTCTTCAGTTACACGTCGCAGATCTTCCTGCCTACCCTCGAGGGCAATCTCATTGATCGCTCCAAGTTTGACTGGATGCTGAACTGGAGCCACATCGCCGCGGCCGCGTTCAAGTCGCTCTTCGGCTGGATCTGCTTCCTGACCTTTCAAAACGACACGCAACAGGTGATCACCAACAATCTGCACTCGACTGGCTTCAAGGGCCTGGTGAACCTCTGCCTGGTGGTCAAGGCCGTGCTCTCGTACCCGCTGCCGTATTACGCGGCCTGCGAGCTCCTGGAGCGCGCCTTCTTTCGCGGACGGCCGAAGACGATCTTCCCGACCATCTGGACGGTGGATCGCGAGCTCAAGGTGTGGGGCCTGGCCTGGCGGGTCGGCGTGATCGTGTTCACCATCCTGATGGCGATCTTCATCCCGCACTTCAGCATACTGATGGGCTTCATCGGCTCTTTCACCGGTACCATGCTCTCCTTCATCTGGCCCTGTTACTTTCACCTGAAGCTGAAGAGGAACTCGATGGAGTGGAGCGCGGTCGCGTACGATTGCTTCGTCATCTTCCTCGGTGTTCTCTTCGGCGTTATCGGCGTCTACGATTCTGGCTCCGCGCTCATCACCGCCTTCGAGATCGGTTTACCCTTCTGAACGATCTCGCGCCGAGTCATTAGGTCATTTTATTCGTTGCGCCTTGGTCCTATGTCCTCTACCGAAATGATATTATACGCTCTCGAGTCGTCGAAATATTTCATTTTAACGTATATTGTGCAATAATTGCTGATGCATACGGGAGACTATTTATATAAACAGATATACTCTGAAATAATAACTAATAGGCATTCAAAGTTGCTTTAGGAGGATATATTTTTAAGAAAAAAAAATTATAAATTTAGGTAGCACAGTAATTATTTCGACGTTTGTTGGCGTCAAAATGACTACTTTTTCTCTCTTTAAACAATATTCCGATCCGATACAAAGAATTTTTCTTATAAAATGTAATTTGGAAAAATGTCCTATATTAGAAATTCGTCTCCTAAAATAAAAAAATTAAGATGCATCGGTGAGCTGAGATGGAATTAAATATTTCACGTGTTCGAGAGCGACATAAGAATTTTGCGTCTACGTTTCTTGATTATTTTAATTCTTTATCAATTTTGCAAGATAACGTAATTTTCTTTTTAAAGCAAGGAGAAAATTCTTTCGTTGTAATTATTTTAAACGAACTAAAAGTGCAAAAGAAGTCTTCCATTCGCGTAAAAGCATGATTTGCGCTTGAAATATTAAAAAAAAATGCGTTTTTCGCGCACAAAAAAAAAACAAATTTACATTTAAACAACCAACGACGACATATCCAAAATAATTAGAAACGTAAAAGAAAGATCAAAATTAGAAAAGACATACTATTTTCTAGTAGTATATAATTACAGTATTTCTCTCTTTTTTTTCTCAAAAATGAAATGGCGTGCGATTTTCAAGTTCTATTGTACATTTCGCAAATTCTATCAGAATTGTAAAACATATCTGTAACGCGCGAGTGAGGGATTTATTCCGTCTTTTGATCCTCGATTTGTTTTATATATTAGGACATTAGAAGATAAAACAAGAGAGAGAGAGAGAGAGGGAAATCTAGGGTGTTAATAAGTGTCACAATAATCTCACGTCTTCCAAGATGTCTTCCAAGATGCAGCAGCAGCAAAAGGGCGAAGCGCAGCCTAACTATATTTACTAGTTGACTATACTGTTACAGTTTTTCTGGATTTTATAATTGTACGTATCGCTCCGCGCGGAATTGTATAACCGTAAATAATTATAATTATAATTTACATAATTATAATTATATTTTTACGCGATGCGTCGAATCACGACGATGGCGGGACTTTTCACGCGATCCGATCGTTCTTGATCGAGGCACGATCAATTATTATTATTAGCATAGCTGAATCTGCCAGGAAACAGTCGCAAGATTTAAATTTAAAGCCCGTGTCGTCCTTTCGTCGCGCGAACGAGTTATTATGTACAACCGAGTACAATTAGTTGTATAATCCAAGGTCTTCCACGAGATCGTTATAGATCACACGTTAGCTTAAGGAATGAGTATAGAAAAATGTAGTTGTGTTCCGTGAAAAGCTGCAGAACACCGCGGAATTTATTCCACAAGAGTTGCATAGCATATATATTTTTTTTAAACAAATCATTAAAGATAATTTATGTATCTATGGATGTTTTTATAGCGATTTAGTTCTCTCGACATTTTTTTAGCAGTCTGAATTCTTTTTTTTATCTTAAAACAATTTTATATTTATTAAATTTATAACAAAATGTATAAAATAAAGAAAAAGAATTTATAAATAATAAAATTTAAAATAAAAAATAATTTATAATAAAATTTATCACACAGTTTTATTATAAATTATCTTAAAATATATATTATTATTTATAAATTTTATTACATAATTTTTCTCTTTTGATCTTATATACCTGTAAGAAATTTTTCTACTCACATAGATTGTGGCCTCCATTTAAATCGAGGACTTTTCTTTGAATTTTACATTTTATAATTCCTTTTACACACATCTACAAGTGTTCTGCAGATCACGGAAAATTCGCAAACTAAAGCGCGTTAATAATAATTGTGAAACGAGTCTTCCAGTAATGTCTTCCAGATCGACAATATTAATGAAAATAACATATATTATACAATAACGATAATGATGTATTACTATATTTATCGTGCGAGGAGGATCTTCGTCGAATGATATTAAAAAAAAAGTTATGTTGAGAGCTGTAGATGTTAAGCGTTAACTCGTAAGGCTACGGTCATAATTGCATAAAATTGATGTTTCATATCAAAATGAATATATCAATGACATACATAATGTAAGTAAAGTCACACACGCTGTTCATGAAAAAAAAAATCAGATTTAGAAATCGTTAACGAGGGATCATCCTACTTCTTTATATCGACAATAATTAAATCAGAATGGATGGAGAGAAAGAGAGTGTTGAGGAATCGTATTTGGAATCTTCTCTTCGTGGTCGCAGTAGTATATTTATGCTATTTACCGTAATAAGGGACTTTCAATTTTATGCTTTGACACATATCGTTATCGGCCTGAAAGATAAAGGGAAAAGAAAACAGAAAAAAATCTGTCGTAGAGATGTAGAGTGAGAAATAGTTGATCTATTTCCGGAGAAGCGAACCACAAAGAGATATTCCGCGAGCTAAAATGTTATTTAATGCGGACAAATATAGGCTTCTAAAGCGCTTCTTGCAGAAATATCCGTATTTCGTGGCGTTTTTTGAGAAGGGCAAAACCTCATCGGTGTTGTGTAGGCAGAGAATATACCTTATTATTATATAAACGTTATAAAACGATGTAAAGCGGTCTCCGTATTATGAGAAAAATATGAAAAATGCATTATCCGATGTGAATATGAGGAGTGATAATATATTAACAAAATTTTACGAACGTATATGTATATACTTCATTATCCTGTTATATAGAGTTAAAAAAAAAGGTAAAATATTTTAAAAGAATTTCATATGTCTCAAAACAGTCCACAAATGAGCCATTTTTGAGATATTTGCAATATCTCATATAACTTAATTTACTTATAATTTAATTTAATTTAATTTACCTACATTCACATGAATAAAATAATAACAAATAAAAATTAAAAAAAAATTATATATAAAAAAATAAAATACTACTAAATCCCTTTAAAATATTTTACCCTTTCAACACCCTGTATATCTTACATCAGTTACAAGAAAGAAAAAAATTAAAACATTATTTAGTGTTAAATCAAATTTTTGGTACGATTTTAAACTTCTTTTGCTTACTTAATTGTTGATTTAAAGGAAAAATGGATAAAGGATATCTCAGCTGGTTACCTCTATTTGATAAACAATTATATTTATTAACAATACTTTTATTATAATTTTTTTTTCACGTTAGAGTAATCTTAGAAATGCAAAAACTATGGCTGAAAATAACAAAATGATGGAGGCTTAAATGTTTTACAGTATTGAATATATATTGTATATATGGCAACACCACCTTTCCTAACAATTAGAAAAGCAAAAAATAATATCTTTGATAACAAGTTTGAGAGAAATGCTTTCTCTTTCAAGGAAATTCTTATCTACGCACTATCGTCATTTTTCGAGGAGCCTCGTTTACTAGTTTATAGATCTAGTATTCCTAATATGATATATATTTATATATATATAAAGTATAAAAAATTAATAATCAAATGTGTGTGCGTATATTTTATATATGATTTTACTCTTTTTGAGGAATATTTAACTTTATCAATTCGCAACGATGATTTTTCAGTCGCATGTGAGCCTCCAAAAATCACGTAAAAACCAACGAATTGTAAAAGCAATGAGCGAGAGAAACAAAAAACATAAATAATATCAGGTAATGAGAGAAGTATGTATGTATATATAAATAAATATATATATATATATATATATAATTATAAACTCAACACGTCAATCGGTAAAGTTACTTTTGCTCAATTATTATCGTATCGTATAATTATTGACTGTTTTATGTCTAGTTAGAATGTCTATTAATCTCACAGCTTTCGTTAATCTAAAACATCCCGTTTTTTCTTTCTTTTTTTATTGCTCTAATGCCAATTATAAAAATATTCTTTGATTGTCACACGAACATGGAAAGAATGGATTATCTTCTTTCGCGTTACAATATAAAAATTCGGATGTCGCACATAGTAACTATATTATTTTGTTATACTTCTTCTATCATTACAAAAGTACTATGTCTCTATTAACGTAAAATTGTTCATATATACTTACATATATATATACACACAAATACAGAGTGTCCCAAAAATCTTGCAACAATCAAATATCTTGAAAATAAAGACTTTTTGAAAAAAATGTTTCAAATAAAAGTTGTAAAGTTTTAAATAATGCATTAAATAATAATGTTAATATGATTAAAGTAAATTTTACATAGCTTTAACAACGTTATTTAAAGTCACACTAATGTTACTACTTTAAGCAATTTTTATTCAAAACATTTTTCTCAAAAGTCTTTGTTTTCGAGATATTTAATTGTTTCAGGACTTTTGGGACACTTTGTATATATATATTATATATATGTATATATAATGTCATATTAATAAAACTCTAATAGCAACTTCGAAAGAAAAATAAAAAATAAAATTAAACAGATGACATAACAGAGTATAAAATCTGGAAAAAAAATTGCCATCCACTTCCGAATGCTCATTTCAAAAATAAGAATTTGTTTGAACAATTCCATATTCTCAACTTGTGTGTATTGCCATTTTGACTTTTGAGAAATATATATACGCGCGTTTAACGCATATTCAACAAATATTTATAAAAGCTTCGTCTCCTATCACACATTCACCGGTAACTTATATCTGTAATGTAACATTTTATACATACTATTTTTGCATCTTTTTTTTCGTATATTATTCTTTAGTTTCAACCACGTTGCTTAAAGCTGCCTGTACTTCTTCCACTCGTAAATCTTCCTCTCGAGATTCTACTTTATCAACTACAATATTTGCAGAATCGCTCTCACTCTTATTATTCTCATCTTTGCATTCTTCAGTTTCATTATTATGTTTTATTACATCCTCTTTATTGCTAGAATTAATCTTGTCATCTATAACAGTAACTTTATCTTCTACAGTTGTAATTTCTTTTTCTTTTAAGTTTGTATCTTCACTATCTATTTGATTAGTTTGCTCCGCTATAGAAGATACATCGGTTGAAGATGAAATTGCAAGATTGTCTGTATCCTTTTTCTCTTCTGTGGAACTTTCTATATTGAGTTTAAAATCGTTTTCTTGTTGCCCATTTGAATCTTCAGTTTGCTTACTATCACAATTATCACTCAAGATCTCTTCAATTTGCTCTGCCGATGAATTATGCTCTTCATTTCTCTTTACAGTTTCAATTTCATCGTTAGCATTGCTTGGCAGATTTTCCATAGATTTAGTCTCATCATTATCACTTACATCTTTTACTAATGATGCTGATGTAATTGTAACTGATTGAACAATTTGAGACTCGTCCAATTTGTCTTTCACCTCTTCACTTATTTCACATATTTCATTTTCGTCTTTGGATGCAGGCAGGTCTGAATCTTGTAAGGTAAATTCACCTTCTTTGTTGGCATAAACCTCGCTTTTCACATCTACATATGAGTTTAAATTGTCATTCTGATTAACTTTTACTTCTGTATTTGTATCAAGTTCATTGGAAGAAATTACATCGTTTTCTTTCTCATCTATAATTTCATCACTTTGTAATGGCTTTACGATATTCTCCTCAGACTTTTGAAACTTAACTTCTTCATCAGATTTCTGTGATTCTTTATGTTCTTTTTGTGGCGACTCTACTTCATTTTGCTCTTGTGGGTTCTCGTTAACATCTTCCTTCTTGATCTCTTTCTTACGAAAGTATGGAGATTTATTGCTGAAGTCTTTCCTTTTCGGAGGCTGCGACTTTCGCGAATTAGAGAACTTTTGCTGATTATCGTGATAATTACCTTTGGCCTTATCTTCGTAGGACTTTGGACGTGAAAAGGGTTCAGTATCAGGGGAAACCATTTCAACATCTGAGTGACTGCTATATGTTACGCGACTTCTCTGTCGCGGTCCTACTCGACCTGTTCCAGCAATACTTGGCGAGTTTACTAAAAAAAATAGTAATATTAAAAAATCTTTAAATACTCTTTATATTATTATATTTTTTGTATTATATTATTTTATTATTATTTATTATATATTATTTTTTATAATATATATATTATTTTATTATATATATATATAAATTTTATATTAAAAAAAAAAGAAATCATGAAACATGTATAATACCTTTGACGCTCATAACTGGACCCTTCCCTTGATTCAACGTGACTTTTAAGCTTTTGTCGGTAGCAACAACAGTTCTTTCCTCGGAACTAGACGATAAAGGATTTTTAACGTGTCCTTCCTGATGATACGCGTTATTGGAACGATTTTCATAATTGTTATGAAAATGTTTCGAATTTCCTCGATAGGAACGATAACCACTACGATTATGGCTTGCATAATCATTTCCTGCAAAGAGGAATTTGCAATTATATATATATATATATATGTATATATATATATATATATATATATATATATATATATATATATAGAACAGTTTGAAACTCTTCGTATGTACAATCTTAATTTTATAAGCGTCTATCGATTCTTACCGTTCGTATGATGTCTTCTATCAAAGTCTTTATGATCCTTCTTTACATATTCTCCTAATTTGGCCTCTGATCTCATCTCATTCACAATGTGTGCCTGAAATACATACAGTTATATAATCTATTATCTGTATCAACATTGTTATGTAATAATTGATTTATTTTTAAATATAAAGTTTTGCACCTTATCGTTATCCCATTCTCTACGCCAATTACCCTCAGCTGTCCTTTGTCTGCTAATGCGATCTTCATCGATGCGATTTCTTTCTGCTCTCCAAGCTTCATAATCTGGCTGATGCTCATCTTTGCGATGACCTCTGTTCATTCTATAATCCTGCTGTTTTGAGAAATAAGTTATATTAAAAAAAAAAAAACATTCTCTCTCTAGTTATAATTTATTTGTAGACTATACATACTTTTTGCAGACTATCCTTTCCTCCAGGTTTCCTTCTAAATATGCCTCTTGAATGTTTCTGCCCTTTGTTTGGAGGATTGTCCTTTAAACTTTCTACATTGCCTTCTTCTCTTTCGGCATCGGCAAGGAAATTGTATTTAGGATCAGGTGGAGGCCCTTGTCCCTACAAAAAGCATTAATGCAAATTTAGCACAAAAATTATTGAGCATTTAAAAATTAAAAAAATCTCTCTTCTTCAAAGTTTCTAAATTATAAAAAAATTGATAAATAAAATTAATTATTAAATTAAGCTTTGTTTACTGTACACTATAAAAATAAATATAATATTTCTCTGTTTCATACATACACACCTGAGCAAAAGTATGACCTTTCCTCCCTTCGCCACTCGCAGAGTGATGCTGCTGAGGATGCTCGTGATGCTCTTTAGTAGCTTTTGACTTAACATTTGTTCTAGGTGGATTAGAAAATTCTGGCGGCTCCTTCCTCTCGGGCCAGTCCGTAGATGGTACCATTTGCACCAGTGCATTCAGTTTGGCTGCGTTCTTTTTATCCTCTTCCACTTCCTATGCAACAAAATCCATTATCTTCCCGCATAGAATAGTCAATCAATTCATATCTCACTCGATTCATACCTCATGTCTCCTTCTAATCTCCTCGTTTTGTTGTCTTATCTTGTTGATTTTTTCTTCAAGCGCACTGGTTGCCATCTGTAATGCAGAGGAGTCAGATTGTCGCATCAATTGATTACAAATGTATAAATAAATAAATGTTCTCTCTCTCATAAAAACTTTTCATCAAATATATATATATATATATATATATATATACATATAAAAAATTCTTATCAATTATATATATTATATATAAAAAATTCTTATCAAATATACATATATATATTAATACATAAAATAATCTAGTGAACGATTAAATCAAATATATATTCTGTTCGCACAGGAATGCTCAGAATACGATTCGTGTCACGTTCCCGAGCAGGTCGCGAAAGGAATGTCACTTCCGAGTTCCCGTCCTCTAAATAGCCGTGTCGCGGCCGAGCTTGCGATAAAATCTTGACGATACCGTTAGAACGAATTTCTGCTGCTCCGAATCTCTGCTCTAAAATCTCACTAGGTGTCATATACCAATGCAAAACAGCCGATATGACGTAAGGAACATCGTAACGATCGTAAATATGTTTCTGGCGAAATTTAATTCGCGATATAGCTCTCTGTCGCAATTTTCGAGTTAGGTTAGGCGCGATTGATGGTAATTAAAAATGAGTAAATCACGATCGAACAATGACGTACGGCTAGTCCGAATGCTGCGGAAGTCGTGCTGGACCAGGATGAAGAAGCTGGAAGGATTCAGAACATCACACGGGACGGTTATGTCAGATACGGGAAACGCGCACAAAAATGTTCGCAGCAGCTCGGCGCATCTGTCACTTCTGCGCGCCACCTGTCACATTCCTAGCATACTTCGAATAGTTCGCGCGCGACGTCACAGATGGCGCGAGTCGGTCGGTAAATTTGCGAGAAGCGGAAAAAGCGTGAAAATAAAAGGAAAAAATTTAATCATCTATTCTCCGATATTTCAAAGTTCTTTCCTTTCGTATGTTTTTATTGCTCTTTAATTTGCCGGTAAAAAATCGTTTATTTTTGTAAATCTTCTACTTTGTGTGACCTTTGTATAACCTCTATGTATTTTATTTGGTTTAAAAATAGCTTCGTTATCACGATATATAATTATTATGCAAAAGTAATTATTGATATTGAAATTTGATCGGATATAATGTATGAAGGATCCTTGGGAAATATCGAGGATACTTTTGACAGTTGCTTATCATGACGAACGAAGATGACGTGTGGAGTGAACTGGCGAACATTCCCGCCGATCCTCCCGAAACAAGGGACAAATGTCAACAGTGCAAGTAAATATTGCAAATAAATAATTATATATATATATATATATATATATATAAAATTGAATGTATATTAATAAATGATATATATAAATATAATATATAAAATTCAGGCAATTGAAAATTTTTATAAGCCTGCAAAGCAAGAGAATTAAAATTTTCCAAATTATAATAATATATATGTCTTTTTAAAGGAGACCTGTGCAAGTATGTTGGTGCCCAGGTTTGCCGAAGCAATGTCTCAACCCGGCATCAAGAATAATAATCTTACAGCATCCAGCAGAGGCAAAGCGTTGCTTGCGTACGGTGCCAATGCTCACATTAGCTTTGGAATCAGGGAAGTGCCTAATCTTCAGGTGAATAAACATGCAATTAAGTCAAATTTACAATTCACATTTTTGTAAGCAAGTCTCGATTGTATATAAAATTCTAAGAAATTATTTTATTCCTTTTTAAGGGGAAAGAAGTTTCCATTGCCTAAGCACGAAGGCCTTTCAGAAATATTAAACGATAAAAATACTATTTTATTATATCCATCTCCTGATGCTATTGCACTGGATACGCTAGATCCAGTTGGAATTAACGAACAAAAGCCATACAATTTGGTTCTGTTGGATGGAACATGGCCACAAGCAAAAGTAAATCATTACTTGCTTATTTCACAGCAAATAATGTAATATGTTTATTTGCTTTTTTTAGAAAGGGGACATATATATTATTTTATATTATACATACACACATTACTTTATATTACATATTAATAATTTGTTTTAAAATTTAGATTTTTGAAGAATAGATAAAAAAACTTTTCAAAATAATTATGTACAATAAATTACCGAATTTCTTAATATCTATTTTCTTGTAGGCGATTTATCACTCGAGCCCAGCTTTATATTTTCTACGAGCTTGCAAGTTAATTGGTGTACCCACTAGTCAGTATGTAATCAGGACGCAGCCAACAGAAGGTTGTCTCTCGACATTAGAAACTGGAGCGAGTGCGCTTTCAATTTTAGAAGGCGATCCCGAATTAAGAGAAAAGATGTTGGGTCCATTACATTATCTATGTAGGCAAGTATAATTCAATTTCTATCAAGCATTCATTAATTTTAAAGTGCTTTCTCATAAAACAAATTAAGACTTTTTAATAAATAAATAATCGAAAGATTGACTAATTTACGAAAAATTCATCATATATGCATATGTATCACAATTATAAAAATCACTTTAAAAATAATTAGTTTAGCTTACATATAAATTATACTAACGTTTATCAATGAAATTTTCTCTATTTCTAGATTTCAATTAGAAAATGGTGCTGTGACACACCAGAGTAAGGAATTTCTTATCAAACAAAAAAATTATCCCAAATTAATTGGCAAAAGACTTGCCAAACAGTTACGTATCTTACCAGATAATACTTTGTAACATTAGGACATATTTGATCATACATATATATTCTCATTTCATTGTTTTGGAATATCTGTTCATATCAAACATTTTCTACATTTTCACAATTTTGTTTGATTTCTAATTTGCATCAAATTAACGTCAATGCAGTCACATTAACGTTTAATACAATCAAACAAAACTCATTAATATAATCCAATATTTGTCGGTAACTAAAATCAAAATCTACTTCGTATTATGAAAAGGATGTTTCATTCATTAAGTCAGATACAAAACAGATACACGAACTCGTTAAATATATATATTACCACAGATACCTCATAATATAAAAATATATTTCAATATTAGACAAAAAATAAACTATTTTTCATATACAAAAAAAATCGCACTTTATGTAATTTTCTAAAAATTGACAGAGATACTGTTAGCGCAACTTTTAATAAATAATATTAATTTCTATTTATATAGATGTATATGTGTGTATAGAACATATGTACACAGAATACAGCGTTAATATATAATCAAACAAAAATTTATTGATACATAAAAACAAGACTTACTTGATACAATCATACATTGGTTATTAATCTAAAATCAAAGTCTACTTCACCGTGTTGCGGAACAAAAGTAAACGACCAGGAAAGCGTATCTTCTCCTTTCGAGACGTTAGATATCCTATGAAATAGATGTACGCCCTGCCTTGTATAAGGATCCCAAGCCATGCGCCTGCCAGGTACCACTTCTTCAATTGGACCGCAAGATACTGACAAATCTGAATCCAATTGCCAATCTACCCATACAGCGACGCCATTGCAGGAACCGTTGCTGTATATAAAACGAGATATAATCTCTAATAAAGTATCTTTATTTTCAAAAATATCCTGATGATACATTAATTTTTTTCGTTCATTAATTATAAAAGTGAGCGATCTAATCAATGAGTGAGTAAAAAACATGAATATAGACCTAAGTAGTTTAATATAAAATACAGTAAAAAAAAAAAAAGAATACATTTTTACAACAGGATGTCTACTCAAATTAATTTTAAAATTAATTAATTAAAATTGATTTATATACATAATTTTATTTAAAAATTCTTTAAAATTCTCTGATCTTCCCGATATTTTTATTTAAAATTTTAAGAAAATTAAAATTTGTAAATAGTTTTTTAAAAATTCCTTACACGTTTTTTAATGTCTATTCATACGATTAAAGTTAATGCAGTTTTTCTAGTATTTAATATTGATTTATTAATTGTAAAATTAATTTGGACAATAACAAAGTGTAATATATCATTATAGGTAAATGCTAAAAATATATGCAAGAATATAATATAAAATAAAAATAGAAAACAAAAAATAATGTATTATAAATGTCTTCAGCTTTATTAATTTAATTATTTTTATGAAATTATTAATTATTTATTAAACAATAAGTAATTGATTTAAATATTATCTATTAAAAAATTGAACAATTTTTATGAAATACATAAGATCTTGATAGTGGAATAGATCGGAAATAAAAAAAAATTACATAAAATCTTAATAAAAACTTAAGTATTGTAATGATATTAGACATGTTTCTTTAAGTGCTAAATAAAAATAAAATTATGAAAAAGACAATTAAAAAAAAAAAAATTCTTTGAATCAAATTTCATGAGAATTCCCTGATCTTTCAAGGTAAAACAAAATTCCGCGAGAAAATCAGTTTTTCCCAGGAATATACATCCTACGTAACTCGCATTTTTAAAAATTAAATAAAAGAGATGCGTACCTTAAAATCGGAACCTCGCCCGACACCTGAATGCGCTCAAAATTTACGTTTCGCGTAAGATCGAGCTCCACGATATTAAAGGGCGCAGATAAGGCTTTGCAGGGATACTCCCAGAGCGGCTGCGCTTCTACGGGGTTGTCGCTTTTATCGCTCGACATCTGGAAACAAAACGCGATTCTCCTTTAGTATCACGTTCAAGCAACAAGAATCGAGAGGCAAAATAAATTTGCGAACTTGTACGAGCCTGTCGAAGGAGGACAGGTTGAAGCCCTCGCAAACGTCCACAGGAGCCCTAATCTTATGCAGATCCTTGAACTCGACGACGGCGGCCTTGATCGTGGCCGCGATCGGCATCCTCGCAATGCTTGACGGATACCTAGAGGCGTGGTACCAGAAGACGAGATTCTCCCAGGGAACGATGGAACTCAGGAAGTAGGGCTCGCCGAAGATGAAATTGATCTCGCTGGCCTCCGGCAGCTCGTCGACCGACCTGATGATCCTTATTCGCTCGGAGAGCCCGTTCGTGCGAACAAACATCTCCATGGTTTTCTGCGACAGGGAGTTCTGCTCCAGCAGGAACACCTTCGCTCCCATCCTCGCGGCCGCGAGAGCCAACAGGCAGCCGTCCGAGAGACAGAGGCAGACGCTGTCCGAAGTGATCCTCTTCTTCAAGGCCTGCACGTACTTCTTATTACGGGCCATGTCGTTTAATTGGCCGATACGCGTTCTCGAGTACGCGATGTGCGCGTTACAATCGCACACAGGTCTAGGAAAATCTGGGATCTCATCTCTGTAAAAAATATATTTTTTTTTTATTTTACATACAAGTCCAAAGAATTATAATTTTTTTAGATTACAAAAAATATTAATAAAAATATTAATAAAATTAATCTCTAATAATATTAATAAAAATTAATAAAATAATAATAAAATGAAAATTAATAATAAATAATGAAATAAAATAAAAAAAAATCAAAATAAAGAATTAAAAATAGAAATAAAGAAAATAAAAATAAAGAATTGAAATTAAAATATTACACAAAGTAATAGGAACTTACACGGATCCGTTCAGCAATTTAAACCAGAAGGAATACTCGTCGTGGTAACCGATGAGACTGACTTCGACGCCGCGTGTAATAGAAATCTCTTCCGGAAGATAATAGACAGCTTGCATCCAATGATCCCTCCAAGGTATCAACTCTGCCATCTCTTGTAAGCGTAATTCATCTCTTTTAATGTCATCAGGTACGTTCGGATGTTCCCATACAGGTGCACAACTCAGCAACACCTAGAAAATGGTATAAAAAGTATAAAAACTATAAGAATGAATAGGAAAAAAAATGATACAAAAATAATATCGAGCAAGCATTAATTACTTGATTATCCATATCCATGTTTAGATCCCACCACATGAAAATTGCATGCGCGGTTCCACTTGCTATCGATTTTGCGCGTAACAGTACTTTTTCATAGTTCAATAAAGGCTCCTTGCCGGACCAGTCAAACCTGAAACAAATTTTTTAATATAGACAGAAAATTACTGTGAAAATTTATTTTAAACGCACAATTCATTACCAACATACATATAACTTAACCACAATCTCCACTTGATTCCTCTCGACCATTATACCAATATAACTTAACATTTAAGGCTCCTGCGTTCTCGCCGCGGCTATGTTAGATTGTAACGTCAGAGTCTGACGTCACAATTCCAACATGATCGGTAGCAAAAGCCTTAAATATAGAATTATGTTTTTAGAGAATATTAAAAAAGGAGAAAATCTTTACCTGAAAATAGGTTGGGGCGGCAGTAAAGGCACAAAAGCGTCCCGAGGAAGACGGGAGAGTTGCATGTCGTGAACTGCTGCAGCTCCAGAGCACGCTTGAATAGCCGCTGGAGCGTCGACCAGCATTTCTCCATTCTTAATAGGCTTCACTCGATTCCATCCGCAAACTTTGGAACTCTCGACTACTTGTGCCCACACTGTTCCACTCTGTGGCACAACTATGCTACCTTCCTGATGTGAAAAAATGCAAGATGAGTGCGAATCCCGAAGTAACAAAATTGTGCGCAAGCTTTAATTACCCTAGCATTACCTCGAGAAGAAATTTCTGGGCATGGCGAAACGTTGATAATGCCCCTTCGCCAATCAGCTCTGTGTCGAATACTTCAGTGACTAGAATATTCGCTCGCTTTGGCATATCACCGTCTTTTCCGACCGTTATCTTCGTAGAATGTTTACGAACCAACTTGATTTTATTCTCGAAACCGTTCTCCTTTATTACTCTTGCGGCACAATTGGCCATCGGTATGAAAGCCTGCAAGAATTTCTTTTTGTATAGTCAAGATGTTTACTCAAAATTTGTAAACAAAAATTTCCAAAAATTCTTTAATAAAAATAAAAATACAAAACAGAAAGATAAATATATAAAACAAAAATAATTTATTATAAATGTCTAGAGAAATAATAATTTATTTAAAATTAATTATTTATTCAATTATTATTTATTTTTTATAAATAAGAAGCACTAATTTATTTTAATATTTTCTATTAAAAAATTGAATAATTTTTTACGAAATTTATAATTTATCTAAAATCTTTTGATACTAAAAATAGATTATCAATAAGAAAAATCACATAAAATTTTAAGAAAAACTTAAATATTGCCAAGATATATTAGATATATGTTTCTTAAGTACTAAATAAGAATAAAATTAAAAAAGACAATTTTTTAAAAAATTATCTGAATCCCAATCAAATTCCATGAGAATTGTCTGATTTTTCAAGGTTGAACGAAATTCCCTGATTGTGAGAATACCAAGTTTTCAAGATTTCTGGGTATACACCCTGTATAAATGAAACTTTGGAGAAAATGCCACTTCTCTTTTACCTCGCATGCTGTCACAGTGTCTGCTCCGCATGTTACAGCCATCATTGACAGCAATCCAGTCCCAGTCCCTACATCGAGCACATTAGCCTCCTCCCCTACTTGGTGCTTTTTTCAATAGCAGCTTTGAGGGCTATATAATACTTCTCATTCTAAGAAAAACAAAATATACTTTAATTCTGTCAGGTACAAAAAATTAATAATGTCATTCAAATTCAAGAATGTAAAAAGCAATCATAAAAGATACTTACTCGCTCGTGATCATGTAGCATGTCTGCAAAGGAGGATCGAGCTACTTCTTGATGATAATCATAATCTTGATCTCTCTTCTCCCACGTGGCGAGACCAGTGAGAGGATTTAAGCACTGCGTGAATACACTCATGTTTTGTTTTAACAATGATAATCTTATCAGAGTGATTAAATGGGCTTTTAACATTCAAAATGCACAGCCGAATAAATGAAAGATTCATTTAAATATGTACTAAATATTTATGTAATAAATATCTTTCACTCTATTTAAATTCTTTGTACCTGCAAAAAATAATGCTTTCTAACTATTTGATACTGTAAATTTCAAAATGCTTAATCCATAAAAATATATTGTATCCTTTCATTATTACGCTATATCTCTTCTATGCTTTCCTATCTTATATATCGCATTTTAAATTATTGAAATTATATATAATTTGTATAAAGTCTTACTGATAATACATAGGGCGAACAACAGCAGATAACAACGATAATGTATTTAGACTACCACGTATGTCTTGAATTCTCAATAATTTATGTGCCATTAGCACAACTTTATCTTCCCTCCATTCCAATGTTCCAAAAACTTTAAAAACACGACATTTTTCCTGTAAATGTAACATTGTGAGAAAATTTATTCAGACAAAACTATTTTCCTATAAAAGCTATTTTAGAGCAATCTATAATTTATGACAAAATTCAACAGAAAAATTTTGATTTCTAATTTTATGTGGTCCATCTTAACATGTGAGTATTTTTAATCTTTTTTAATTTATATATATATATATTTTTTTTATTTCATTATTTATACATATATATTATTTATATTTTTATTTGAAACTTATCTTTAATTGTAGAATAAAAAAAGTTATAAATAGAACTCTGTCATAAATTATGTATCGCTCAAAGTGATCTTAATATCTAACTATTTTTATTTTTATACAATCTATTTTTATACAATAAAATAACATCAATATTATTATCAATCAAATTATTATCAATTTACAATAAATTGTAACAAAAATAATTTATTTTAGCATGTTTATTCTATTTTTTCTGCTGTTTATCTTTTGTTTATCAATTTACAATTTATTGTAAGAGATAAATAGCAGAAAAAATAGAATAAGCATGCTAAAACAACTTTAAAAAAATCAATCGCTTTACCCATATAGGCACGTATCGTCCCTTGCCGTCCTTAAAATAGACAGCATTCACGGGAAGCCTCTCCAAGCTAAGGGTGACTTTTGCTTCGCGATCGGACGAAATACTCTGCAACTGGACAATTCGGCCCTCGCCGGGGAGAATTTCGCCGATCGTCTGCACGCTCTTTACAAAATTCTCCTTGTAGTCGGACAGAGACGAGAATCCAGGAATGTCCTCGACCAAAACGGGAATATGTGGCACGCCGGACGGCAAAAGATTCTCGCGAACAGCCAAGCACGTCGGCCAAGGAGGTTTCACGCACGCCTGTTCCATGTGTCACTCGTGAAATGCGCCATTTATGCAGGAAGAACTTTCATTTTTATTTCTTGCGAAAATCGACCAATCACGTGCGAAAGAAACCCAATTGGACGCATTATTCATTGGTCGATTCGGAATCCCTAGTCTAGGGGCTTTTGATTGATCAATTGTGCTAGTCACGTGATTGGCTGGGTCCATTTGAATTTCCCGCGCTGACATTTCATTATTTTATTGCAAATAAAAAATTAAATATTAATATGATAATATAGATATAAAAAAATAATATATTATATATCTTTATATTATTTTTATTATATAATATATAATATATTATATATTATATAATAAAAATAATATAAAATATATAATATACATATATATATATATATATATATATATATATATATATATATATATATATATATATAAGTACAATATTCTTATTGCAGATTCTTTGGAACATATATATGTCTTATATATTGCAAATAAAATTAATCTAATTTATTAAAAATAATCTATATCGCTATTGTATCGTTTTATTTTCTTTTTAAATTTTTGCAAGTAAATGACAGAATATAGAATGTGTGGTAAAATATACAATATTTTTATATACTTAAATGTGCAGTAGAGTGTGTCGATTAATTTTTTTATAAACTCATATATATTATATGTGTATATTTTGAAATTTAAAAACAAAAATTTTATTGTTCATTTTATTGAATTTAGTCGATATTTATTACACAGCATTAAAAAAAGGGAAGAGTTGCAAGTTAATCTAATTAATTAATAGATCCTATAATTATTTACTATTGCTATATGAAATTCATTACATTTATATTTATTTTTCTTAATTTCCTACTTAAATTTTTCTTATATCTTTTACAAAAAATATTGTGTTTAAACGAATCGTGCTTGATTTTTCTTTCTTTATTACATCTAGAGTACAATGGTGTATTATGTACAATAATTGTAACTCAACATACATAGTAAAATATAAAAGAGAACATGCAATATGTCTAAAATATGTGCATATACAATTAAATTTCATCAATTAAAGTATCTCTATAATAATTTTTAGTTTTAATATTTTGATGATAAATTTCTATCAAGTATTGATTTGTTTAATTTTACAGAACCAATATACATAATCCGTCAAAAAAGTAATAAGATTAAATATGTAATGTATAATTAGGATTTTTTACTGCTGCCATAACTTGTGCGCTAAAAATTCAATCTCATTACTTTTCTGACACCATGTATTATATTAAGAGTAGTAAGATTGTATAAAAATTAGCATATAATCTTGTAAAAAAAATTTAAGATTGCAAGCACTTTCAATATCTTTTCAATAGATTATACACTTAATCAGACTCGTCATTGTTTATAAGAAAAAATTACGCATCACAAATTTTATACATATACATCTACTTCTTTCAATTATACAATAGTCATGTACTCTGGAGATAAATCGACCTGCATCTGGTTGACAGGATATGTCAGGACACGGAGCTTTTGTCCACTCTGATTAATAAGTTCGATTGTATGTTGACCATCTGTGATTTCAGTCTGCTCAACATTTTCCAATTGATTAATAGTTGCGACTGCGGTTGCATCTGTATCCTCGTCCTAAAAAAAATATTAACATTTTGTTGATTTATCGTAAATTATATAAGAATGTTATTTTATTATTTAATTAATATTTGTTTAATAATAATATTATAATTTAAATATCATTATTTTTAATTTTAAGTGTAATTATTTAATTACTACACTTAATAATATTAAATTATATATTTTTATTATAATTTTTAATTTTAATTATATATATATATAATTCTTTAATTAATATGCTTAATACTATTAAAATTTAATTATAATTATTTTTAATTCTAATTCTAATTATTTAATTAATACGCTTAATAATATTATTATAATTTAAGTAAAGGAAAAATCAATTATGAAGATTTAAGAAGGAAATACAAAAAATTTTGTTTTAAGATTCAAAAGAATTGATGATTAAATTAAAACTTGATCTCAAAAATGGAAGATTTATAAAAAAATAAATTTTTTTACGTGAAATTAAAAATTACCTCTAGCGCTTGGACGATGGCATCCGCGTCGGCCTGAATCGCCGACACGGAAGCAATCGTTCGATCTCGTATCGTCTCGATCTCGTCTTTCGCATTCTGCTGTGTCGCGATTCCGCTCTCAACTGCAGCCTCTTCATCAATATGGATGTTTAACGCTTCAAGATGCTGCGCGAATATTTCAGGATGAACTCTGATGATCTGGCTGTTCATGTGGCTGATGAAGTGTCCTTGAGACAGAAGCTGTCGAGCCTCTTGGATAGATATCGGAATCGGATTTCCATGTTCGTCGGCGATCTGGAATAAAGAATTAATATTCTTTATATAATTATAATATAATTTATATATTTTTATATATATTTTTTATATATTTTATTATTTATTTATATATTATATATAATTTAAATAAAAAATATAATTTATATATGCATTTTCATATTTATATAATTATAAATCTTTAAGAGATAAAGCACAAGTGCAGCTGTTAACATTTTGGTACAAGGCCCTGAAGTATCTAGTCATAAAAAAAATTATAGCGTCTACATCTTTCTTACTTGCAACTGTAAATCCGATTCCGGGAGTTCTATCTCCGACTGTTCCTCGTTATTATTGGCATTATTATTTACAATCTTGTCGGCAATTATTGCGTCGTTGTCAATATCCAAACGTGGCAAGAAATTTACACTCGCCTTCGTTTCCTCTTCTTTATTCTTGATCATGCTAGTATCAACTACACATTTCGTCAAATTAATAATTAGGATTAATTAGTTAATGTATGTGCGATGGGATTAATCTGTGTATAATTATCAAATTAATATAACTGAATACATACGAAAGTGTAATGTTCGCGGCTGATTAGGATTATTAGGATCCTGATATGACACGTAATAGATCTGTTGGATCCCATCGGTGGATGCTTCATCAGTAGCGATCACCTGCGCCATTTGTTCATTGAGTGCCGACTGTTCATCGTTCTCTTGCGAATTTGGCAGAATTTGCCACACCTCGCCGATCGGGGATCCTTCTGATTCGTCCACGGTTAGTATTTTATTCTCCCTATGCACCTGTGGAAATTGATAATTACTAACAATAAGACAATCGAGTTTGGTGCTCGAGAAGAAGCTAAGAAAGTGAAATTGATACAATACCTTTTTATGCTTTGTCAAATTCGAACAGTCGGCGAAAGCTTTGCCACATAGATCACAAGAATAAGGTTTTTCACCTGTGAAAAAAATGAAATTATTATAGTAACTTAGAATAAAAAATCTCGCACCAAATAAGGCTTTCGATGGAATTGGCTGTTTATGGTGTAGCTTATGATTTTATGAAAATTATTCGACTATTTGTAACTCAGCAATCCAATATTTAGCTTTCAGGCTATTCTTTTTTTTCAGCAAGTCGTAAGTTACAGCATGTGAGAAAATCAGCTGATTTTACCAGGATTCAATTTCATCTAGGATTTTATATAGGATTAAAAACCCTGTATTAATCATATAAAATTAAATTTTGATAAGATCAGCTAGTTTTCTCATATATTTTAGCTTATGATCTGCAGAATAGAAAATGTAATAGGCTCAAAAAGCTGAAATAATTGATAGTTACTGATTTACAGCAAATCAAATACAAAACCATGAGCTCTATGAGTTGTTTACCTGGCTGTAACTCAGTAATTATCCAATATTTAGCTTTGAAGTTATTATATCTTTTGCTCAGCAGAAAATTAGCTATAACATATTTATAAAAAAAATAAAAAAAACCAACTTCATCAAAAGCATGTTACTCTTCTTGGAGAATTTTTCTATCCGTAATTATACATAGAAATTAAATAAAACATTGTGATAAAAAAGATCTTGAACATCATCAAGCCACATTTACCGGTGTGCAAACGAACGTGTTTCTTTAACGCCCATTGCTCCGTAAATCCGCGATTGCAAGTAGTGCATTGAAACGGACGTTCACCCTTATGTCGGCGTACATGACACTTCCACGTATCCTTATGCAGAAAGCATTTTGTACAGAACTCGCATTTCCACGGTCGTTCACCAGTATGACGTTTCACGTGCAGCTTAAACTGCGAGGACGTCGTAAACTTTCTCTCGCAAATTCGCAGCTGTACGGCTTCTCACCAGTATGAATTCGCATATGTTCCTGCAAATTGCCATTCTGTGAGAAGCTCTTGTGGCAAACTTGGCAAGTGTACGGCTTTTCACCATCGTGCCATCTAAAACGATATAAAATTGATATAAAATTGATCTCGTGCTACTAAAACTAAAAATCCTGAAGAGGTTTAAGAATAAAAAAAAAAGATCTACTTATACTAAGATCTAGATTTAGAAGTCCTAGACTTTAAGATAAATTTAAGAATGCTTCTTTTGAAAAATATAAATAAATAAATAAATAATAATAATAATAATAAATAATTTAACAAATCCATTTACAATTTACCTTTGATGCAACGTCAAACTGGTCTTGTGTGCAAACTGTTGGTTGCAACGCTCGCAGTAATATCTCTTCTCACCAGTGTGAGTGGACTGATGATTGATAAGATTTGCCTTTGTCTTAAAGCTGGCACTGCAGGACTTGCAAACGTAGGGTCGATCGTCCGAATGCACCAACTGATGTCGCTGGAGCAACTGCTTGTGCTTGAAACTCCTGTTACATTTGTTGCAGACGAAACGACGTCCATTGTTGTGTTCGGCTTCCTTATGATACACGACGGAACTGGGATGATTTAAGACTTTGCCACAGATATCACAGGGAAATCCCTTGTTTGACTTAGTTTGCTGCAACATTAAGTAAAGGTTTAGTGTGAGAAATTATATAAAAACTTTTAATTGCTTAAAACTAATTTTTGAAAGACCTTGTACCAAATTTAGAATTTTGGCTTTTGATGGAATTAGCTGTTTTTTTTTTCATAGTTGTAGTTTATATCCTGCTGAACAAAAGATATAATAGCCTCAAAGCTAAATATTGGATAGTTACTGAGTTATAGTCAGTCAAACAACTCGTAGAGTCCAAATTTTTCGTATCTGACTGGTTGTAAATCAGTAACTATCTATTATTTTAGCTTTTTAAACTTATCATATTTTCTGTTCAGCAGATCATAAGCTAAAATATATGAGAAAACCAGCTGTTGTAACTTACGACTTGCTGAACAAAAAATGTAATAAGCTCAAAACTAAATAATAGATGGTTACTGATTTACAACCAGTCATACACGAAAAATTAGGACTTTGCGAGTTGTTTGACTCAACAAAAAATTAAAAAAAAAAGCTAATTCCAACGAAAGCCAAAATCCTATTTGATGCAGAGTCCTTATTGCATTATCATTTAAGGGTGTAGATAAAAAAAAAGTAAACCTCATGTGTAGCCATGTGCATTGTCAAATTCGACTGGTTTGTGAAGGCCTTGTTGCACACGTTACACGTAAATCTCTGCAGTTCATGCACCAATTTCATGTGTAGTTCATACTCTTGTTTCGATTCGAAATGCTTGTCGCATCTTTCGCACATATAAATTGCAGCACTAGAATCTTCCTTCATCGTCGTCGTAGAGTAGTCCTGCTCCGAACTTTGTGTCTCTAATTTCTCAAACGATTCTTGTACTTCAATATTTTCTTCAGCGGGATTTGAGCTATGCTGAGCCGTTTTTTGATGTAACGCCAGGTTCTCCTTACTATCAAAAAGCGTCTTACATTGTGTGCACTCGTACTTGATGCTTTTATGGAAATTTCTGCAAAACATTAGTATGCAAAACATTAAACATTGAAAAGTACAATAAAAAATATTAATATTTTAAAATTCTGACAAATTTTTCAAATTTATGTGTACGAGAATACACTTCACGTATATAAAATTTAAAAATTATAGAAAACAAATTGTAGAATCAGAAAGAAAAATCAAGGAACCAAATGAAGTTCTCGAAAATCAAATAATATGGTTAAATAAATAACATTTACTTGTGTATTAAATATTTGCTACGTTGTAGAAAATTTCTGCCGCAGAGCTGACATGTAAATTTATTTTTTCGACGACGAAGCTTCGACTTTGACCGTGCTCGTCCACGATTCGCGGTTACTTCACCCAAATTTTTACCCTCCTGCGTTTCGTAACGACCAATTACTTCTGCAAGATATACATTAGGCATAAAAATATCTAGAAGATTAATCTCTTTTCTATTTTGGTCTATTATATGTACCTTTCTGACCATCCTGGATAGAAGCATTTAATGGTTCTTCAGAATCATCAAGCATCTCGAAGTCATCGTCATCTTCCTCGATTACACCCTCTTCTTTGAATATTCTTTCTAATTCCTTTCCTTGCACCGCTTCCATAAATCTGTCCATATTTATTTGATTATCAATCACAGAGACTTACAAGCTTTTATCTCAATTATTTATATACATACCTTTTAGGAACTTTGCGTTTCCTCCTACGCCTACCATCACCATCTACTTCTTCCAGCTCTTCCTCTTGTTTATCTTCCTCACCTTGACTCACAACTTCCACATTCTCTTTTGTCTGTGAAAAATAATATGCAAATGAAAAAGTTATAATACATAAACAAAGTAATAAGTCAGTCACAATTCAACATTACAAACCAAAGATTCGGCCTCTGTTTGTGCTTTGGGTGGACGTCCGCGTTTTCTCCTTGGCTTAGTTAAGCCTTCCATTTGTAAACTTATTTCATGCTCTGCAGCGTACACAGATCCATCTGGCATTACTATTGAAATAACAATTTTACACAATTATACAATATTGTTTAAATTAAGACCATTTATGATACAAAATACATAGGGAAAAAAAGATTGCATTACTTTTGATGATAATTTGCTGTTCATACTGTTCATCCTCATTGCAAGCAGCCGTACTATCCACTTCCACTCCCTCTACTTCTGCTGCAAACTCTGCGCTCTCCTTATTGCGTAAACGTTCTGCCCTGCGCTGCTGCTCAACCTGATACTTCCAGAGGTCACGCAACTTGCGCTGACCAACCACCAGCAGATCAAAGAACTGCACAGTTGCTGCCAGCTGAATGTTACAGCCTGGACAAATTGTTTGCGGTAACTTGCCATCATCTCGAACCTTAAAATCAAAGATACACATATATAAACAATATTGTATAAGCAATAGTAAATCACAAACATAATAAATAATTTCTACTCTATATTAGTATTTATTATACAAAGTTTATTCCTTGAATATTTAACCAAGAGGGTGCAAATTTAATATGCATGAATCTAATCACCGTGTAAAACATCAAATTAATTAATTTACTGAGAAATGAGAAGAGAAGAGAAAAATTGACAAACGATGAACATTTGATCAGTGCAGTAGGAAATCAAGTTGCAATCCATTTAACCGGCATTTAAAAAAAAAATGCACCGCCCTACCTTGAGTGGCAGATAACGATTCACCAGCGAGCACAAATCCGACTCGCCCGTCTCGTTGATGAACAGATGTTCGTTGCCGTTTTCCGCCGCGCACAACCGACAGATCTTCGAATCGTACAGACTCACGGTGTCCATGTTTCCCGATAATGAAACGAGACCGCCGAATTTCTTTCCCCCCTCCGGCCCCCTCGAGAATGACGAGATTGGTCGAAGAAAAATAATAATAATAATAATAATAATAAATATGCTACAAATTCATGTAAAATTAACGATACGTACAAATATTTACGTTCTCATTATTATAAATATGCATAAATACGCTCAAAATGTGCTGCTACGGAACGTGACGCATTTCAGGTTAAGTCGAGCATTCGCTCAACATTGCTGGCAACGTATTTCCCCGCAAAATTCTCTAGCGCCTCGTGCGGTAACATTTTTCTACACGAAATTCTCTAACAGGCGTCAGATGAAATCACGCGCATGTGCGCAGTGACGTCACGCGCGTGCGCGCGGTGACAGCTGTCAGATGATGTCACGCGCATGCGGAGAGCGTCTGTGACGCGACGTGTTGTTAAATTATTGTTTTTCTCGTGTTGTTAAATATTTTACGTCATCATGAGATACCTAATGCGGAGAATGATAAAAATTTAACGTGGATTTCTCGATGGTTTATTCTTAATATATTATTTTTTTATCAGGACGAGGAGATGTGATCAGGCTGAAGGAATGTCCTGCACCACCTGTCAAACGAAATTTTCGTTTTTTACGAAAGACGTAAATATTTGTACATTTGAGTTTTAATAGGTTAACTTGACAAGGTAAATTATGCCGGATTCGAAGGATTCGATTGCTTATCTTTTTTTTTCTTTTGCTATTGCTCAGATCGGCTGCCCAAGCTGCGGCTTCTCTTCCTGCGCTAGATGTCTCAAGTTCAAATGCGATCTTCCCAATATAGGAACGAAGAAGGTTTGCGGACGCTGTTACCACAAATTGAACAAGATGAAGAGATCAGGTTCAGAAGATGTTGAAAACGAAGCTCCGATGCCTAATGCGAGTTCAGAACCACTTGCACCAATTGATATTACTATGAAGTGAGCAAAACTCTGGGTCTTTTTTTGCCTGCGAGTAGTTTAATATTTCAAGGAAACAATATTTTAATATTGAATATTTGATCTAGATTGGATTCATTGGAAAATCCAATAAAACCTCCAATAGTAATATATAAGCATACAGATCATTGGGATGCACTTAAACAGGGACTAGAACCAGTGGACCAACAAATTGTAGAAAGATTACGAAATTTGAAGGAAGAGCGTAACACTTTAGTGCCTACTTTTGATGAGATAACGCAAAGACTGGCGCTGTTGAAAGATCAAGATCCACAGGCCAGTGGAAGTTATGCCGTAAATGTATGTATATATAAACAATTATATATATATGTCATTTGGATTCTTATTAATATTTATATGCAGAGTTGGACAATAATTAATTAATTTGTTAAAAGATAAAAATTAATAACTTTTAACTTAGCTTAGTTAATTTAAAATGTATTAATTTTTAACTTGAGTTAGTTATTTTTGATCTTAAACTTATTAACTTTTTTTCTGAGTTACATTTTTTCTATCTCTGAATATCGTTATTGTTTTTTTATAAGTTATAAACGTATTATTTTTAAATTAAAGTATTATTTATTTTTATGTTTATTTGTCATTAGTTGTAATTACCAAAAAATATATTTTTATATAAAAATCAAAATTTCTTTATTGTTATTATAAATTTTAAAAGAATTAACAAACAAAATTCTAATTTAATATAAATAATGTTTTTAAAAATTAACTTTTGATTTAACTTCAGTTGATTTAATCTTACCTTAACTTTAATTGATTGTGAGTTAATTTTTTGTTTATACAACTTTTAACTTAACTAATTAATTTTATAAGTAATTAACTTTAACTTAACTTATTGTTAGTTTTAAAAAATCATTAACTTACCAAACCCTGTTTATATGTTATTTTGATCTTTACTATTTTTTATAGATACATCAAGTGGATACTAGAACAGATCAAGAGAAGACGGATGATTTAATTAAAGAATATATGGCTGAAATAAAGTTGCCTTCGTCCAGTGAACTTTATAAGGAAATTCACACATCATTAAAGGCCTCGCAGTATGATGAATTGGTTAACAGATATTCAGCAATGGAAATAGAGGTATATATTTGTTTGCATAATTGATAAATATGCACATTTCTATCAACATTTTACATGATCAATAAAAATTTATCTGAAAATATATTCTTCTATTTTTAACACACACACACAATTATAACAATAAATGTAATAATAAATTATATCTATGAATTTTTGAATTTTAGTAAATGCTTAATTTTGTTTTTATGTAAAATTTATAAAATGTTTAATAGACACCTCCAAACATGGAAGATGAGGATGAAAATGAGGACGAGGATAAAGATGAAGACGAAGACGAAGACGAAGACGAAGATAAAGATGAAGACGAGGCTGAATTTAACAATGAATGTTTAATATGTTTGCAAACTGCAGAAGAATTGGAACTATATAGATGCACAGGATGTAAAGGCGACCTTTTTGTTCTACATGCTTTGAAAGTTTCCATGATAGTTTCGAACTGGGAAAGCATAAAGCAATTCCTTTTGTCAAACAAGATAAAAAGGATGAATTGTCTCCTGCAAAAATGAACCTTATACAAAAATTATTAACATCAGATTCTTCGAAGAATACCTAATAATAACAGTATTATATAAAAACATAAAGCATTTGCGGATGCTTATGCGAATTATGTTATTGATTGAGCTACAATCCAAAATTTGCACACATTAAATTGTAATCTATAAAATTTGTGATAAACGTGCAGAACAATTGATTAACAAATGTTTTGTTTAATGCGAATACTTTATAAAAGCTGAAAGTAATCGATGAAAATATGCTGTCGCTTTTGGCTGTGTTGTTCTGAAGTTAAGATACATGTAATTCTTATTTTACTAACTTATATATTAGTAACTATTAATTTTCTGTTTTATGTTATTATAGATAGATATAAAATAATACATGCATAGATACATACGAATAAAGATAGGCATATTAGTAATATAAACACTCGCCATAGAGAAGCGTCACTCTTTATATATTTCTGCTAAATAAATTTATTTTGGTTAGTGATTTTATAAATTTTTGAACCTTCCAATTCTTGTTCCAATTTTGTCTGTACATTCTTATAAGTATAATTGCTTTTTATCGTTTGTAGGGATTTAATATAAATATTTAGACAATATATAATTAATAGAATATAATATAATAAATGTAATAAATAGAATTTATATTTGAATGCTATTTAAAAATATTTTATAAAAAATCAGATTTTGAAAATATTGAGAGTTTAATCAAATTCTAATTAACTTAATAATTGGTGAAATGTCAACAGAATTTTTACATATATAGTACAGATAGTTTATGTAAAAACTAAAATTTAGTTTATATTGTTAAAATTTAGTTATAAGTTAAAAGGTGCATGAACAAAAAATTAGCAGTTAAATCTCTCAAAAAATTAATTTTTGAAAACGCTATTTATATTAAATTAAAATTTTGTTTGTTAATTCTTTAAAAATTTATAATAACAACTAACAAAGAAATTTTGATTTTTATATAGAAATATATTTGTTCAAACACAATATTATATTCGACATAAAATATAATTACGATTTAATAATACATTTTAATTTCCATAATAATAAAATTTATATAGAGAAAAGTCGCACAAAATAACAAATCTCACAAAATAAAATAATAAAAAATAAACTCGTAAAAATTAATTTTCGATTTCCAAATAGACTCGCCACCCGATGCATCTCCCTAGGCAAAAAACTCCCTACGAATTCCCCTATAAATCCATCGACGGGCCTGACTGTCGAGAATCCTCGAACTGCGCCGTGAAACACGTATGCGGTCGTCTAATCGCGTATTATTACAGGTCGAGCCAGAAGTCGAGCGGCTTCGGAGAAGCGATTAGCCCGAGTGCGCGGATTATTTTGCCAAAATACACTCATGCAAGCTTGAAGGCGGACGATCGGCCGCGTCGACCAGTTCGACAGCAGCCAGCCGAGGACTCGCTCGCACCTGCTGCTGACCTCCTGGGGTCGTCGTGACTCATTCCGTATATATATATATATATATATACATAGTATATATATATATATACACATATATACATATATATATATATATACATATATACACACATATACATATATACATATATACATATATACATATATATACATATATACATATATATATATATATATATATATATATATATATATATGCAGCGTTTAATAGAGCGATCAAAATAATACGCCGAGGAAAACATCGCCAGGATAGATAATCTCGCACGACAGATGCCTGTCCGTGGAGAGGATCTTTTTCCGATGTGACAGCTGGACACCCGGACGCCGTGTGAAATCGTTGACAGCTGACGTGGAAGTCGCGCACCTTTGAGACGCCTCGAGCAGCGAAGCCCTCGGATCTGTTTTGCATGGTGAGATTTTTTTTTATTTTTTTTTTTTTTAGGTTAGGATTCACGAGTTTTTTGACGTCAGTCGATCGTCATCAGTCGCGCGTCATCGATCATCGATCGCGAATTTCCTTACGGCGCATTTTCAAATCTAGGATCGCGATGCGGCCTCTTCCTTCTCTCTCTCTCTCTTTTTTTCTTCTCTCTCTTTCTGCCTCATCCGATCGATCAGGTGATTCGACGATGAGCTCTTCATCGATTTTTTGAGGTTAGGACGACTCTTCCTCTTCTCGCGATTCGCCTCGCGCGATCAAATTTTTCGTCGCAAATTAGACTCGCTCGACTTGTTTTGCGAAAATCGATCTGTCATCGGCTTCCTGGAGGTCGCGGATCTCGATGACGTCATAATTTTTGCGAGAGTGCGTAGGATCCTCTGACGTGGTCGAAGGAATTTAATAAAAATCCCGAAGGCGGAGGAACTGTCAAGCTTTGATCATCTGTTCTTGTTTATGCTCCAGTTTTCAAATTTTTTCTACAAGTTCATCGTGCAACTTCGTTTTGCTTCCTGGAATTTATAACAGCAGCAGAAATCATTGATGTATATTTTGCATAAGTAACTCTGTATTATAGCAGTATGTATTTTTTTCATATTAGTTACTTTGTCATATTTTATGCAAATTATAATGTGAATTATAGTGTCAAATTTTTTCTACAAGTTTATCGTGCAACTTTATTTTGCTTCCTGGAATTTATAACAGCAATAGAAATCATTGATGTATATTTTGCATAAGTAACTCTGTATTATAGCAGTATGTACTTTTTTCATATTATTTATTTTGTCATATTTTATGCAAATTATAATGTGATAATCGCAGAAGAATGTCACATTTGAAATATATTTGTTCAACGAAGAGTATCGCAGTGTGAAATTGTAGCGTAGACATTTGTCAAGGATTTCAAGTAGCAAACTGACGTCATTAGATGTTTAACATTGTTGGTTTGCTTCTTGGAATCCTTAAGAAATGTCTCATTATTTTACGTTATTAGACATCCACTTTGCTACTATAAGTTACCCTTGGTTGAACAAATGACATCTATTGTTACATAAATATATTTTAAATGATACTCTTCGGCACTTAAATTACATCAGTTTGCTATTCTGGTTATTCATGATGATGGAGAGTGATAAAGAATGTGTCTGTTTGGATGTTTCATAAGGTGCATACGTTGTAAGGAAACATGCCTCTGTTTGGAAAGTCTCAGAAGAGTCCAGCGGAGGTGGTGAAGGCTCTGAAGGAGGCGGTAAGCGCGTTGGAGCGCGGCGACAAGAAGGTAGAGAAGGTACGTTGTTGTGGATACACGTTGGTTTCTACGATGAAATACATCCCCTTTTAGGCGCAAGAGGACGTGAGCAAGAATCTGGTGCACATTAAAAACATGCTGTATGGTACTGCTGAGACGGAGCCACAGGCGGACATCGTGGTGGCACAGTTGGCGCAGGAGTTGTACAACAGTAATCTGCTGCTTCTGCTCGTACAAAATCTGAGTCGCATCGACTTCGAGGTACGTCTTTGATAAAACGAGTTGAAACAAAGTTGTGCGAATGGCATACATTCTCTTTGCGGCAAAGGTAAAAGAAATATCACTCTATTATTAATACTTAAGTATCACTTTATTATTATTATTAATACAACTGTAAATTGCTTACAAATATAATATATTAAATATCACAATTACTGTTAAAATATTCATGCAGCTTTAAAATACTTGTTTTATAGGTAAGAGGAGCTTTGCTGCCAAAGTGACAGTAAATAATTAATATTATGTTATTAATTATTTACTGCCACTTTGACAGCTCCTCTTATCTATAAAACAAGTATTTTATATTCGACATAAATTGAATTATTTTTATTGAATATGAATTTCATTCCTTTTGTTCTTGATTAAGGGAAAGAAGGATGTCGCGCAGGTCTTCAATAACATTCTGCGGAGGCAGATTGGAACTAGATCACCTACGGTAGAATACATATGTACTAAACCTGAAATTCTTTTTACACTTATGTCCGGGTGAGTTCGTTTTTTCTCTTAATATTGTTAGGGTAGCATTTTATAGTATCTCTGTACTAATGGGTAAACTTTGCTTTGTAGCTACGAGCATCAAGATATTGCGCTCAACTGCGGTACAATGTTGCGAGAATGCGCGAGATACGAGGCACTGGCCAAAATTATGATATATTCGGACGATTTTTACAATTTCTTCAGATACGTCGAGGTCTCTACATTTGATATCGCGTCCGACGCTTTCTCTACATTTAAAGTACGTCATACATTTTGCAATATGAGACGAAAAACATAAGGCCTTGCACACAATAGGGAAGATATTAGAAATAAATATTAAATGTTAAGAATAAGATTTATTTTATATTAGGAATTATTTTAAAATGATAAAAATCGAAAGACTGAAATAAAAATATAAATTCGGATATAAAGGACTAATAAGAGTTAATAAGCTAATAAGAGTTCAGTTATATTCAAATATTGGTATATCAGAATTTTTTCGATTTTATTATTTTAATATAATTCTTATTTTCCTCATATATTAATTTAAAATAATATTTATGCCTCTATTGTGCGCAGAGTCTAACATACATTTAGAAATATTTAAATATTACTTATTCTTCTCTTTCAATTTTTAATTAAATATTTTGAAATATGCTACCATTTTTCGTTCAATATTTGTTGCATTTTAAATGTCATTTTTTTTTGTTTTCTTGCAACGATGCAAATGATTAATGATTGTTTATCCAGGAATTACTTACAAGGCACAAAATACTCAGCGCCGAATTTTTAGAGATACATTACGATAAAGTTTTCTCACACTATCAGAGGTTACTCAATTCAGAAAACTACGTAACACGACGACAGAGTTTAAAGCTGTTGGGCGAGCTATTGCTCGATAGACACAATTTTACAGTAAGTATTTTGCATTATTGCTAATAATATTCATACAGTACTTAAAAAGAAGAAATCTTCGAATTAAATATTCTTAATAAATTTTATAATTACTATATTTACAAAAATTTAATTGCTAAAAATACAATCAAAATAATACATTTGTTTCATAGACGTTGGCAACATATTTCTGGAAAAAAGAAAAAATATGTTCTGGCATTTCTTAAAATATATATTTAAAATTAGTGTAAAGTATTAAATATATTAGTACAATTTATAAATTATACTAATAATTTATATAAACAAAAATTCTAAAAATAAGAGACAGTTACATTTTAATTTAGTCAAATTTATTAATAAAATTATTAGTAAAATAATTAGCCAAATTGTTGAATCAACTAGAAATATACTGCAACATAATAATTCTAAATAATAGGATATATAACAGACAGAAAATATATTTGGCAACACTTTCCAATGATTTAAAATGTAAATGTTATAAAATTGGTCTTGGTTTTGTCATGCTAAATATGTTGCAGGTCATGACACGATATATATCGAATCCAGATAATTTGAAGTTAATGATGAACATGTTGAAGGAGAAGTCTCGCAATATACAGTTCGAGGCTTTCCACGTTTTCAAGGTATGACACTACAATACATTCAAATTTTTGCGTTCTTTTGTCAACTTTCTTAATATTAGACGTCACAGAGAAAAGTATTAGTTTCTATCTTCGAGTTTTTACAATTATTCCAATAAATAAAAAAAGAAATTATTCTATATAGAGATGGAATAATTTTAATTAACTATGGTCTCTTTCCACATTTTATCCAGGTATTTGTAGCAAATCCCAACAAACCGAAACCCATTCTGGACATATTGCTCCGCAATCAGGAAAAGCTGATCGAGTTCCTGACGCGCTTCCACACGGATCGTTCCGAGGACGAGCAGTTCAATGACGAGAAGGCGTATCTGATTAAGCAGATCAAAGAACTTAAGTCTGTACATGATAATTAAGTCAAGGAAATACAATTATTGCTACTGCTACGACTAACTACCACTACACTCATTATTACTATCGAGTCTACTGCTGCTGTTGCTAATTACGGTTTTATTACTATTATATAGGTAGTTATAATTTATCATCACACCATTGTCATTATCACCGTTATTACTATCATTACCATCATTATCATTGTCATCTCGGCATTATTATTATTATTATTATTATTATTATTATTATTATTATTATTATTAATTATTATTATTATTAATTTTATTTGTGAGTAGCACTGTAAATAAAGATTACATTTATCTCTCTTATTGTATCATATACAGATCAAGTTGTCAGCGTTCTACCACGTTTTTAGGAATTAATCGGTTATTAAAGCAAAAAGAAAACTTGAGTGTCTTTATTTTTACGATTTTAGTCGTTCTTTAGTATTTGTGCTTATCAAAGTATATTTTATTCTCTCTGGTGATTTAAAAATCTATTATGTATGTGAAGAAAGTGACAGCAACTTTTGAAGTAATCGTTTTTATTTTTTTGCATTCTTCAATTTTCAGTTATTACCTCTTTAGACTTTCAGAGATCCTTTTAACATTTTTATAATTAGAGAATCCAGTAAGGATTTGTCAATACTTAAAACGATATCACGCATATTACAAATTAATGTAAAATCTTTTTTCTTAAGTTAACAAATTATCTTACCAACCTTATGAATTAATGTCATTTAATTATTTTGACAATAGCTGCAATGGCGAAACTCATATCAGTGAATAGGCGCGGTTTCTGCGCATTATTTCGATCAGGTTCACAGCTGGGATATAATTTCTCTATATCTTTTGATTTTTGGAGTTTTGTCACCACATCATCCTTCAAGATCTTTTGTTGGATGTTTCTCATCAACCAATTCGTTTGCGAACATGTCATCATGGCCTAAAAAAGATTAAAAATGTAAATAGAAGGAAAATTAAATATCAGGATATCTGAGTAGTGTTAAGGATACAAGATGAGAATAAATACTTTAATTTAGCAAAAGTTACCTTCGAGTAATCTTCATCCTGGCTAAGAAGCCATATTAGTGTGGCGCAATGCAGGAATACCTCCTTGTTCTTCAACGATCCATTTAGAAGCTTCATTAGCGCCAGTGCATACTTGGTCTAAAATATAATTAAGTTTTTTTTTTAAATAAATGTAGCAAGAAAAAGATTAAACCACATCGATTTTTACTCACTTTGACGATATATTTTCTTGTATAATCATATTTGGTCAGAGTGATCAGGATGTTGCAGGCTAGCAAACAGACCTTCATCCACGGCAGGGATCTATTATTCTGTGCTATCGTGTTGTAAATGTCATCGGCCAGGTTCAGCTCGCAGAGAATGACGGAGAGAGTCGGTGATAACTTCGTTATAGTATCTGTAACAAATATTCACACATCATAACAATGATGTGTAAAAACACTATCGCAAAAAACATCATCAGATTACTCAGAGAGATAATAGTATAACAAATATTATGAAGATATATTTTTAGATTAGTTTTATCGTTAGCTTTACACAGAAAGCTTTCAGAGAAAGAATTCTACACAAAACACAGGATTTTGGCTTTTGATAGAATTAGCTGTTTTTTTTCCATATGTTGTAGCTCATGACTTGATGAACAAAAGATGTAACAGCTTCAAAGCTAATTATTCAATAGTTACTGAGTTACAGTCGATCAAATAACTTGTAAAGTCCTAATTTTTCGTGTCTGACTAGTTATAAATCAGTAACCATCTATTATTTAGCTTTGAAGCTATTACATTTTTTGTTCAGAAAGTCATAAATTATAACATGTAAGAAAATCCTGATTTTACCAGGATTCAATTTTAAATAGGTCTGCTATTAAATAAGTTCAAATGCTCCGTACTAATTATAATTATATTTTATATATAAAATTGAATCCTAGCAAAATCGGTTAATTTTATCATAAATTTTAATTTATGACTTGCTGAACAAAAATGTAATAGGTTCAAAGTTAAATGATAGATAGTTGTTGATTTACAGCCAACGAAAAATGAGAACTTTGCGAGTTGTTGGACTCAATAACTATCCAGTATTTAGCTTCAAAGCTATTACATCTTTTGTTCAACAGAATATAATCTACAACATATAAAAAAAACCCAGCCAATTTCACCGAAAACCAAATCCTATGTATATTTTGTGCGATATCCTTTCTATTCTTATTCAAACTCTATCTACGTTGTTATTTGAAAAAACGAGAAAGGTACCCAAGCTGCTCAAACAAGTGATGAGCGTCCCGACGTTGTTGCAGTTGCGCAAACTATCAATCATCTCCTTCCAGTAGTCGCTGTCCGGGATGGCGAGTCTCGTGGTAACATCCTGAAGATCTACCTGCACAGCTTCGCCAGATAACTCGTTTTGAATCTTCATGGCGATGTCCTGCTGCCACTTCCGGTGCAGCTCCTCGCGTTCCAGTCTTCTCTGCTTAAAGCGACGCTGAAGTGCGACGACTCCTCGACGCAGGCTCAAGTAACGCAGTCTTTCTTGCCTGCCTAGAACGTAGGCTCGCCAGTAATCTTGGATAATCACTGTGGCGTACTTGACGGTCTCGTATCGCTGTACGGCGAGTCTGGTTCTGTAGTAGGACTGGATGGTGATGGTGGCCTGACGCGAAGCGACGAATCGTCGCCTCGTCATCAGGGTTCTCCAGTGTCTCTGCAAGATGACGGCCGCTCGAGTCAGCTGATGCTCCCTTCTCGCAAGACGAGTCGCTCTCATCGCTCGCCACCTCCTTTGTACGTTCACCACGCAGCTTTTGTATCGCTCGTACTCTCTTCCAGCTCTGATCATTCGCCACCAGGCTTGCAGGACGACGCAGGCCCTTTTCTTCGTCAGGTACCGCTGACGATCCGCGCGAGCCAGGACACGTCGACGCCAGCAGGTTTGCAGAAGGACGGTGGCCTCGCGAAGTCGCAGGTATCTTCTGCGTTCCTGGCGAGCTGTTGTGACATTGCGCCACCAGTTCTGAATTCGTACCGCAGCGTCCCTCGTCTTCAGGTAACGTCGTCGAGTGGATCTGGTCAGAGTGACGCGACGATACCAGGATTGTATCAGCGAGGCTGCTCGCCGTTCCTTCAGATACTGTCTCTGGACTATCCTCGCCCGCCAGCTCTTCTGCAAGATCAGTGTAGCTTCTCGTACTCGCAGGAATTCCGCGCGTTGACGCCTCGCGGATTGGATCCCGCGCCACCAGCGCTGCAACCTGGTGCAGCAAGATCTCTGAAGCTGATACCTGCGCGAACACGTCGTCGCCCTCCACCAGGTCTGTATCTTCAGCACGGCGGCTTCTCGTTTGCGAGCTCGACGCTCTCTCCATGTCCTCTGGATGAGAACAGCGCTCCGGCGATGAAGGAGGAACTTCTTCCTGTCGAGGACACTCAGCCACCACCTCTCGATGCATCGTACGGCGATTTTCGTCCGCAGGAAGTCATCGCGCGTTCTTCGCGCCGATAAACATCGTCGCCAGTGAGTCTGAATGACGAGAGCGCTCTGTCTCATGAGGAGGAAGCGTTCACGCTGCTCCAGCATCATCTTCCTGGATCTCCACCAATATTGCACTCTTAGGACGGCGTCCTTGTACGCCAGATACTTGGAACGTTCCAGTTTCATCGCCTGCGTCGCCCTCCACCGTCTCTGCATCTTCAACGCGACTTTCTTGAGGTTGCGATAGTGATTTCTCTGCGGTCTCACCAGCAACTCGACTCGCCATCTCTTCTGCATGTAGAGTACCCTTTCGCGTTTCATCCTCCGCTCTCTCAGCTTCTCCTCCCTGGTCTCTCGCACCGTTCTCCACCATCTCTGAAGACGTATCGTGGCCGTCCTGACGCGTATATACCTTACGCGCTCTTCAAGGTCGAGACAGGTCCGGGCTGGCGTCGTCTTGCGTCTCCACGCGCGTTGGATCACGAGGGCTGCGAAGTTTCTGCGAGAACGCAGGTAGTTCCTCACACAGACGTACCAAAGCTGCGCTCGCCACCATTTCTGGACCACGCGGGCGGCCCGATCGAACCTTGGCGCCTGGTACTTGTGAATGATCTGCCACAGGAGCGACAGAGTCTTCTCGCAGTGGCCGTCGGCGACGCTCTTCGCGTCCACGTCGCCCTCCAGGGCGTAGCCGACCTGGCGCAAGGCATTCAGCGCCAAGTCCACGTTGTATACCTTTTGCAGACGCGAGATCGCTGGGACTCGGCAACACTGGGTCAATCCCCGGACGCCGGTGACGAGCTCCATGACGCGGCAGAGTCGCACGCCGTCCCGCAGATCGCACCTTATGTCCGTCACCGCGTAATCGTACTCCTCGATGTAGCTCTGCCGATGGGTAAGCACGTAGTCCTGAGTCCGCAGTATCCTTGTCACGTCGCCGATGCCGCTCAGGAGCTCGCGCGAGAAGCTCAGCAGGATCTCCCGGCTCTCCTTGTGCTGAGCGCGCTTGTGGAACAGGCAAGGATCGTGGCCGATCAGTTTGCGCTGCTTCGCGTAGTCCAGGAAGTATATTAGGTACAAGAACTTCTTCAGGCTGAACTGGTTCAACTTGGTGACGACCTTCTGGTGCGGATCGGTCTTGTGGTAACCGGGCAGCTTGATCAGTTGCGGATCCGAAAAGAATCTCGTTAACAGGAAGCGAGTCAGGCCGACGATGTCGTTGTTCGAGCGGAGCGGAATGCTTTCGTTGTAGACGGTTTCCAAGCCGATTCGCAGCCACAGGGGATTGTAGTTCAGGAACAGAGACAATATGATCTTCTGCAAGCCTGTTGAAGACAGACGGTTAGATATCTTATTTTATATAAAGATATAAAAGAGATTATTATCGACTTTTTTCTATTCAGGAAGCTTTCATGAAAAGAAACTAAAGTCAGCTGGGAAGGTAAAATCAAAATTATTTAATTAACGAACCAATATCACGATGTAAATTACGATCCGATCTGATGGACAAAGTTCCTTTGATGATGTACATGTTGATGCGTGAGAGAACACTGGTGATTTCACTGCTTTTGAACATAGCACTTGCAGCTTTCCGCAGAGTGTTCAACCTGGTGCTAGTGTGATATCTGAAAACATATACAATTAAAATAATAATTATCTTTGGGATTAAACATTAAGATTAATTTTAAGACTAAAATTAATTTTAATCTCAAAATTAATTTTTATCTTAAAATTAATTTTAAGATTAATATTAATTTTATAAGATCAAAATTAATTTTAAGAAATTTTAAAATTAATTTGTATAACTTTCTATGCTTCTGCTAAATATTGAAGAAATACACACCTTGCAGACACAGCTTCCTTAGTTTCAGCCAGTATAGGGTTCTTTTGTGCTTTGCACGACTGCCACACTTTGCCGATGTCTGTTACGGCAGTCTCAATGTCGACGGATAAATCCTCTGGTGAAGATAGCAGAGCGTTCAACCATTTTGTGAATGCAAATTCTTGCTGCAGCAGCCATAGCTCGTCATAGTGCACTGTACTATTACAATAAGAAGACCAATATGTTAAAATAATCATTAGCATAATTAATTTTTCAAATTAGAAGCATAAAATTTAATTAATTTTTATTAACAAATAATATTCGCTTGCAGTACTTTTGCAAATTGATATAAAAATTAAAGACTAATCAAAATGTAACATATACACACATTTAGAATTTATTTTAATTTAAAGTTTCTTTATATATTTATTTTTAAATGTTTTTATATTATAGTTATTTTAAATATATTTTAAATCTATTATATTTTATTTACTATATATGTTTAATTATTTTTATATATTTAATTTTAAAATCTCATAACTAACTTTTTAAGAAATGGATCTTCTGTTGTTGATGGTGCAAAGGGATCTAATTCAAATGTTTCATATATGAAGGCTCCTTCTTTATCCTGCATTTTGTATCTGGGTTCTCTGATAAATGAAGAAGTATGCCATTTTGTCTTATTTAAGGTACTGAGAGACAACTTGTTTATTTTGATCGCTGCTACATTCTTTGTACTCTTTTCTATAATCATAATGTATTAGAAATTAAAATTAATACAATTGAAAATATAAAATAATTCCTAAAAAAAAAAAAAAAATAAAAAATTAAAAAAAATTAAAAAGGAAAGAAAACTTACTTATAACAGGTAAATTCGCCAATTTCTTTGTACTTCCTCCTTCGCACAAAGTTTTGTTCTTTGTAATTCTACCAATTCTTGTGCTATTTAATTTTGGTACCGATATCGGCACGTTTTTTGAATGGAAATGCTTCCTCGGTGGAGAAATCTCAATATACATGTCCCCCATTTGTTTAGCAGGTTCAATTTTCTCAGGAATAATTTCAAAACTGAAATAATCATCATTTATTTTTATACTCGGGTCCATCTTTATATGCGTCAAATGTTCGTTGAAATTTTTATCATGATGTTGGGCAATCGGTGACGATGAAATTAAGTCCTTGATATCGGTCATGAGAGAAAATCCGTCAGATTTAATCGGCGACAAGTGGTGCAAACCTGCTGGTTGCGATGCAAGTAGTGCATTACTGAGAATTTTTGCATTCTCACAAGTTGTTGTAGATGTTTCAAATAAATGACTGCGACTGATGTTGAACGTTGTATATTTATCTGTATTTTGCGAGAAACTCGTGGATTCCGCTAATTCCCTTCTCGTCGATTCCGGAGAACTCGAAGCTGCATCCGCAGGTGCAAATGTAAATTTATTCAGCAATATGGAAATATCAGAATGGACTTTGTCATTGTCACAAGTTGTATTTTCCATGATTTCGTTGTGCTCGAACAATATACCATTGCAAGCTTTCTTTTCCTTGACATATGTGGCTCTACGTATATCCTGCGGTTCGTTTGTAGAAAATACCTGTGGCAGAATACTTTCATTGTTCCATCCGCTCAGGTTTTGCTCGAGTATAACACCATCTGGTTTGTTATGATTTTGGTAAGTTCCACTGATTCTATCATCTTTTTCTTGCGTTGCGTAATTTTCATTATATCCATTGAAGATATTCTCCTTGTTTAGATCCTTTTCGCGTCTTAATTTATATTGTTTTGATAGTTCATCAAGATTAGGAGCCAAGGGTTTCCAAAACGTTGGAATTTGCAATGTATTGTTTTGATAGAATTTTTTGTTTGTTGTTGACGCAGAAAGATTCGACGATGATGATTTTGGCAATTTCCTCTTTGTCTTAATACTCTTCTTATTATTATCTTTAGCAGTGGTCGCTAAAACTATATCGTACTTAATTCGTCTATTATCTGTAAGCTGCAACACATCTCGCCAGCATCCTGCTTCCTTCGGGGACCATTTAATGCATATTGTGCCGTTGCTTTTCCCCTCAACTTCTAATTCAGAGGAACTCAGAGCAATCTGACGCTCTGCAGCTGGCACTTTTGTTATAGTTACCTAAAATAAAATTATTAAAATTACCATATAAGAATATCTGTGAGCTAAAGATTTTTCTACAAAATTGTTTGTTATGCAAAAAGGTCGTAGAGCTTTAATTTCTCAAACGACAACAATAATAATATTGCTCTTACATTTAATGTTTTGTCGCTGGTATTTTTTATATCTAAATAACATTCTGTACTCGTGTTTACGTTGGTCTCTAGTTCGATCCTCGTTGCTGGTTGAAATGGGGCGAGTAACATGATGTAACGAAGCTTATCGAAGCAGGAATTCGTGGCTTTGGACTGCGGCCGTGAACTCATTTTAGCATATAGTCCCTTGACAAACTATGAAATGACAAGAAAACAAGATTGCAAGCCTCAATTCGACTCGTTATAATAAACTTATTAATTATTTTATTAAATTAAAAAAAAAAACAAGAAAGAAGTGTGTATTTGTTTATGTCAAATCCACGTCAATGTGACAAAAAAAAACACTTTCTCTTTCTCTCGTCTCATCCAAGCCAATCTTACATCGTACATTACACCACACTTTAATTAAGAATTCACACCTTTCGAGGTAAATCAGGCCTCTGACAAAGAGAAGCGACAAAGAAGCAATCACCCGCTATCGCGAACAGTACATAAGTACGATAACGGATTTTGTCGATTTAATTTGAATGCGCAGGGAAACGCACGTTTCCAAGCAGACCTGCCAACCTCCAATCACGAACTGTCACTAGAACATTGCTAGTTCTTTCCAGTCTCAAAACTTTTTTTAACCAATCATTTTTAGTACATATATTTATATTATATTTTGTATATTTTTAGTATATTATTTATATTACTTTTTATATTTTTAATATATATTTACATTTTTAATATTTTTATTACATAAATAAAATACGATCATAAAAAAATTATAAATAAAATCATTAAAATCATTAAATCATTAAATAAAATCATTAAATCATTATATAAAATCATTAAATAAAATCATTAAATCATTAAATAAAATCATTAAAATCATTAAATAAAATCATTAAAGTCATTAAATCATTAAATCATATTAAATCATTATATCATGAAATAAAATCATTAAATTATTAAATAAAATTATAAATTATAAAATCATCAGAAGTATATAAATTTAAATTTTTGATAAATGTTTAAGAAACATTCTATATATTTATTTATATTTATATTTTCTATTTTTTATTATTTATATTATTTATATTTTTTAAATATAAATAATGTATATGTAATGTATATATATATTTTATTTTTAACAAGATTATTTGTTTAAATATTCTTTATTTTAAATATTTGTCATTAGAAATTACTCAAAATAATAAAAACGCTAATTTCGAAATAACTCCTTAGAAAATTCACAAGTAGCGTCACGTGATTGGCTGGCAACTGGAGAAATTTTCGGGACTCTAAAATTCCTCTATCTCACCAGCCAATCGCGACTCGTCTCGCTTTCTCGTCTAGGGAGGGAGAAGCTCCCTCGATTTATTCGTGGAACGAGCCGATGCGGGAGATCGAATTTCTTCTTGTTCGTCATCAATCTACTGGCAATTCCGTGCTTGTGTCTGAACACAGAAAGTCGGTATCGGCCAAGTGTCGGCGCCAAGGGAAACGGACTCCTTTTTAGAACGAGGATTATCCTGTATACCGGAGATCGCCGGAGTCCGTTTCTTTTTTTTTCGATCTCGCGCGTTAATACTTTTTTAAAGGAAAAAATTCGCCCCGGTCGGATGCGTGTCTCTTCCAAGTTCGCAGCCTCGACGAGCAACGGGATTTTAGATTAGTGTATATTGTGAGTATACCCGCGTAAATATATCGCGCTTTCTATTTTTTTTACCTTCACCGCATATACGCTATATTTATCTCGCACAGTTAATTTCATCCGATTTTATCCGAGACTGCCAAAACTACCCTCGAATTCGAGAATACTCGAGGATATTTTCTGCGGGGAAATCGTCGACTGCGTTTTCCCGGTGAGAGACCAGCAACCTCATCCTCGAGCGTCTGTACGATGGCCGAATCCAGTGACTTGGATCGGCAAATCGAGCAGCTGAAGAAATGTGAGATTATCAAGGAGGCGGAGGTCAAAGCTTTGTGCGCCAAAGCAAGAGAGATACTCATCGAGGAGAGTAATGTGCAGCGTGTCGACTCACCTGTAACAGTAATTATTTCTATTCTTTGTAAAGAGTAATTTAATCGTCAATAATGAAGCCTCGAAGATGAAGTTGATACAATATATGTGCTTTTTTTTTTTTTTAGGTTTGTGGAGATATTCACGGACAGTTTTATGATTTAAAAGAATTATTCAAAGTAGGCGGAGATGTGCCAGAAACAAATTATCTTTTTATGGGAGATTTTGTGGACCGAGGTTTTATAGTGTTGAAACTTTTCTTCTCCTTCTTGCATTAAAGGTAAAGATGTAAAATATATCTATGAAGTATAAAAAGACTGTGTTCTTTTTTTTATTTAAACATATAAAATATTAATCTTTACTATGTTTTTGTATTTTAATAAGAATTATTGAGAGGAACCGGTTCTGAAATTAATAGTTGTGAAGAATTTTGTTTAAGAAAAGATTTATTATTGTAATATATGCATGCATACTTAGATCTTATCTATTTGCAGGTTCGTTATCCTGATAGAATCACATTGATAAGAGGAAATCATGAATCACGACAGATAACACAGGTTTATGGCTTTTATGACGAGTGCTTACGCAAGTATGGCAGTATAACAGTATGGCGATATTGTACAGAGATATTTGACTATCTATCATTATCCGCTATCATTGATGGCAAGATCTTCTGCGTTCATGGTGGACTTTCACCTAGTATTCAAACTTTGGATCAAATTCGGACTATAGATAGAAAACAAGAAGTGAGTCTTTTTCGCATTTGCTATAATTCTTTTACAGGAACAAATTTATATAAAACTAGTTTATTATAGTTTTAATGTCAAGAGTTAAATTATGTGTGTTCTACTGTATCTAAAAAAAATTTCTAAAATTTTGAAACTAATTAAAATTGAATGGCTTTTAACGCAGGTTCCTCATGATGGACCAATGTGTGATTTGTTATGGTCGGATCCCGAGGATACTCAAGGCTGGGGTGTGTCACCGCGTGGAGCTGGTTACCTCTTCGGCAGTGACGTCGTAGCGCAGTTCAATTCGGCCAATGACATTGATATGATATGCAGAGCCCATCAGTTAGTGATGGAAGGCTATAAGTGGCACTTTAATGAGACTGTACTGACCGTCTGGTCTGCACCAAATTACTGTTACAGGCATGTAATACTTACACTCGTATTTCTCCAATGGATCTTTGTATATCGAATGTCGTATTATCGTATTACAATTTTATTGCCATTAAAAGTTAGGATTTTGCTATCTACATTCAATTTTTTTCTTTATTTCTGTTTAATTTTAGTCTTGTTTTTATTTTATTCAATACATTTCTTAAGAACATTATATTTGCTACTTTAACATATTTTTATTTTCTTTAAATACAGTATATATGTATAATTGCATAAACAAATATTTACAGTTTTTAATTTTTACATAATATTTAAATTTAATTTATTAATATTTAATAAAATTAATATTTCAAAAATTAATTAAATTATATTAATTTAAATTAATTTAATTTAAATTAAATGATATTTAATTTAATTTATTAATATTTTAAATTAAATATATTTAAATTTAATTTTTTAATTTTTCTAATGTAAAATACTTTTCACAATTTTGCAGATGTGGTAATGTAGCCGCAATATTAGAGTTAAACGAGCATCTACAGAGAGATTTCACGATATTCGAGGCGGCACCCCAAGAAAGTCGCGGAATACCCAGCAAAAAGCCACAAGCGGATTACTTTTTATAAATAAGTTTTTTGTAGGGTAAAAAAAACAGTAAAATCGTGCATCGAATTGACTTGATATTTGCTTCTTCTTTTTTCTCTTTTTCTTTTATCAAAACAATTTGCATCAATCATGAAGAAGAACATTAAGTGGCTTGCTATATTTTTTTATGGTGACACGATTTTTGTGATTATGTTAAATGATAATCGCATAAGTATTCGAATAGAATTACGACGATATATACATAAGGAACTGATGTAAAATATAATAAAGTTCGTCTCTCTCTCGATTTTCTAAATCTTGGTATGTTTTATAAAACCCAAATATCTGAAAGAAATTTTTTTTATCATTTATAAAGGTATATAAAAAACAATTCTATGTCCGCATGAATTTGATTCGTAAAATCAGTTTATCATATATAATTTTTTTATTTTCAATTAATTTAGAATTTTCGAGAAATTAAAATTTTCTTTGCGCATCGATCGTACTTTCCTTTTTACTTTAAATGCCTTCAGACTAAATACAATTATTTGGCACCAAATCTCATTTCAAATTCTCATCTATTTATGTTTGGCTACGATGCGAAAACATCTGATCTGATGCGAAGACATTTGCTGATCAAGTGATGCAGATGCAATCGAGGAATAATAATAAACATAAAATATATGGACGAACATATACCTATTCGGAGGAGTGGATTTGTAATAAACCGCTTTGGCAATTTTAGAGAGTCGCTACTTTACACATATATAAAATCTTAATTAAATATTAATCCAAATTGATAAAAAGGATATGTCACAAAATAAAATCTCGCTTTTATCGAAATTTCGAAATAATTTAAATGCATTAATTAATTTTATCATATTTACAGTGTTAAAGTATTTGTATCTAAATATATATACATATAGGTAAGTATATATATAATAACAGAAATAATGCTGGATCATGCCAAAAACGTATTTACTTCGTCGCGGAATAAAGTATATACTTATCTAAAGCATATATTATCGAGGACAAATCGGAATCTTGTGAATTTCTATTATATACATAATTGTGTAATTCGCTGAATTTCTATTATGTACATAATTTTAATTCCTGAATTTCTATTACGTACATAATTTTAATTCCCAAATTTTCTATTATGTATATAATTTTAATTTATTGAATTTCTATTACGTACATAATTTTAATTTGCCGAATTTTTATTGTATTGTTTGAGAACTATTTTGTATATATGTATCTCTTTATATATTTTTTTCTCATTTGTTTAGTTTAATCGAATATAATTACATGTGCGAAGCAAAGTTATATTA